TCGGTGCAGCCATGTCAGACCAGCTGAAACCGTGTGGAAAATGCAAGCCCCATCACGCGGCTGCGGGTGCAGCTTGGTTCCCTGTGGCACCTGTCGGGCCATGGTCTTGGAGCGCTTCGGGGCACTGACCTCCTTTGGTTCGTCCTGGCCATCTGGGTTCTCAGCAGGGGCACTGGGCACCGACACAGGCTGGGGGTCAAAGATGGAGGCGCGAGGGGCCAAAGGCAGAACCGACGAAGCTTTCAAAGGTCTCTGCTGTCGCACCGGGGTGCGCGGAGGTGCAACCGCGGCCCACAAAGTCAGCTCAGTGTCGCCATCCTTGGCCGGGAGGGGAATGAGATCCCGGTCTGGCTCCTTGGCTGCAGCACGAAAGTAGAACACCTTGGAAGCTTTCTTGCGCAATTGCCTGAGCATGGCGATTTCTGTGAAAGAGGCTTTTAGCAGGTCGGTGACCTGCTCGACAGTCCAATCGGCTGGGACCCACGGCACCGACCAGATTTTCGCAATGGGCTCGCCGTCGGCAAGTGGTGCAATTTGGCCGAGTTTGCCTCCACGATGTGCGAGACCCAGGTCCCCAGCCGAACGCCGCATGCGAGCAAGGTATTCACCCGGAGCCTCGCCCTTGGTAGGTTCAACCCAAGTGATTTTGGTGGGAAGCTTCGGTGCTTCTTTATTCTTAGCGCATTCAAGGAAGATGCCGTCCATGCCAGAGAGCGCAAGCACCGGCTTCAAGTCACTTTCGCTGACCCTGAGAAGGCCATACAGCTGGAGGTCCTTAGCGAGGCGTTCTTCCTTCCAGCCCCAGGCGTCCAGCACATTGACATGGTGGTCTGCCATCCACTGCATCATGACACGGGAGGGTGTCTTGGCAACAGCAGCCCAAAGCTTTTCGGTGGCAAAGCTTTTCGGGATCCTCGCATGCAGGACCACCGAAGGCTTGCGGACAACGGCAAAAGTGGGCTTGGCACCCTTAGGTGCCGGGACAGCATCTGTCGGATCAGAACGAAGGAAGCCCGTGGTGGCTTTGCGGAATTGCAGCTGATCCTTCACGAGGCCTGGGACCCGGGCGGTTCCCGCAGGATCGAGGCACACCAGAGTGACGGAATAAGCCTTGGTACATCCAGCTGCCATGGCCTTGATAAGCTGAGCCTGCTCAGAGTTGCACAAGATCACGCCTGTCAGTTTCTCACCCTGTGGGATCGCCTCAAGCTTTTCAGCGAACTTTGTGGGATCAAGGAGGGGCTGATTCCAATCTTGTGCTCTTAAGCAGAATTCGTCATTGGGTTTCGGTCGTGCTCTTGGGCCGACAGTGATCCAGCCAGCCTTGGCATCCTCCGGTGTGATGCCGATGCCTTTACCTCGAGAGGGGTTTGCAGGGGCCTCGGTCGAGGGCTTAGGGGGGTGCAGGGTCTTATCACCTTCGCCTTTGTGCTTGCCTTTGCCTTTGGCCTTGCCTTTGGGCTCTGGCTGCTCTGCTAGGGGCTGTTGCCCCTTATTTTTGCGCTTTCTGCGGGATCTGGGCGGAGAACCGTCGCCAGTCCCTGCAGCATTCGGAAGCAAGGGAGCAAAAGGGCTGTTTGCCAGTGGCACTGACACTTGACCCCCCAGGAGGGAGCCCAGATTAAGATCAGCAAGGATCTTTTGTACTGCCTCCTGCACGAGTTGCATGATTTGTTGCTTGAGTGCATCAGCGAAACCACCCCCCAAATCGAAACCCGGCCCCGGGTGGCTGGCCTCTCCAATTCGGGCACCAACCTTGTCGTCATGACACCACTCCCGGCTGGGAGCGCTCAGAATGCAATCACCTGTGGGACTGAACCTCGGGCCCGGGTGACTGGCTTCCCCGATTCTCTCTCCAGTTTTGTCGTCATGGCACTGATCCCGGCTGGGGGTGCGAATCCCAAAAGGAAACCTAATGTTGCACCAACCTGCGAAGACCTTACCGCACTCAAGAAACGAGGGGCACAGCAGGAGCCAGCCTCGGAACGAAGTTCGGCAGGATGCATCTGAGGATATCCCAGAAAAGCAGCCTGGGAAGCCTGTCCCGGGGCAGGGTAGCTTCTCCTTCTCAGGCCATTTTTTGAGAGTAGTCTGAAGTTCCTGAGGGGTCGGGGTGGCTTCGGCACCTTTCAGAAGAAAATCATTCTGTGGATCTGTGCGGGCAGCAGTGGTCCTAACCCGCCCTCGGCAGGATTTCTCGTCCTCTTCCGAGGATTCTCTACCACACCTCAGGCAAGGCTGGCCGGCTGCGCCACAGCACCAACACTTGAAAGTCGGATCAAGCGAGGAGGCTGAAGATGTCATACATGTATTGCGCTCAAAGTTCGGCTGGGACCAGAAGGGATTACACCCCAAGGGAAACAGGGGAACCGGCGGCACGTGGTTAGAATGCAGCAGTTGTTGATGTCCATCCCTCGACTGCAGGGTGCCAGCGACACTGTGGCAAGCGCGTTTACGGGGCTTCACATAAGCACACGGTGCTGGGAGCGGCCGCTTGCAGTCACGGCACCGGGCGCTGATCGAAACACCTGCAGCCCTTCGGCAGCATCGTTTTCGAGGCTTAGTATACGCCCTCAGTGCTGGGAGCTGTCGCTTGCAATCGAACCTCGGCCCTGGGTGGTTTGCTTCGACAGTTCGCGCTGCTATGTTGCCATCGTGACGGTTGCCCCGGCTGGGGCTACAAACTGCAATGGGAAACTCACATTTGCACCAACCTGAGAACCCTTGACCGCAATCAAGAAAAGTAGTGCACCACGGGATCCAGCCTCGAAATGAAGATCGGCAGGGCTCTTGTGAGGATGTCGCGGGTTTTTGCACTCTTTTCCGACCTGCAGCAGCACGTGGAGCCAGGGCAGGGGAAGACTGGGTATTGCCGGATTGGGGTTCATGCAAGATTGCACTAGCTGCATCAGCGATCCTTCGGTGGGATATGCTAGGATCTTTCGACCAATCTTGACCACACCTCAGGCTGGCTTCGGCATCTTCAAGAAAAGAGTCATCATGAAAATCGGTGCAGGCAGCAGAGGTCCTGACCTGTCCTTGGTGGGATTTCTCGCTCTCTTTCGAGGGTTCCCGACCACACCTCAGAGAAGGCCGGCCGGTTGCGCCACAGCACCAACACTGGGAAATCGGATCAAGCAGAAGTTCAGAAGATGCATCACATGTTGTGCACTCAAGGCTGAGCCGGGACCTGAGACAGCGGTGGCCCAAGGGGCCCAGGGGAACCTGCTGCACATGATCACATGAAAGCTGTCTTGGATGTTCTGCCGTTGGCTGCAAAGGGTCGACCAAGATGCGGCAAGAGCGCTTGCGAGGCTTGATGTACGCACGCATTGCTGGGAGCAGCCTCTTGCGATGCTGCCGCGTTGCACTACCGGGAAACCCTACGGGACTAAACCTTAGGGGGGTCCCAGGGGTGCACCTGCAGGCGGCATCGGAGTTGCCAACACCAAGTCGTCGCCCACAGCTGTCGTCTTGAGAAGGTTTCCTTCTCGCATCGTCGTCGCCGGCGATCTCGCCCTCCGGGCCTTCAAGAAACGTGCCGGTGTACTTGTCCTTCGTGTGGAAGAGCTCGTTCGACTGGTCGCCAGCAGCCGCCCCAGCGCATGCAGGAGGAGCCTGAGGGCCAACTCCAAAGTTGGCAGAGGGGCCCAGAACGGGCCGGTGGCGGGTTAAGGCTCGGGATTGGCCTCTCAGGCTCTTCATTTTCTTCTTTCGACCGGCTTTTTTTTAGCCCTTGACGGGTCTTTGTCATTTCTTTATGGGGCACAGATCCTACTTCACCATCACCGCCATGATCGCAAACACAGCTTGTCCCTTCACAACCACAAGCGAGAGTTTCGTAGGCAGGATCCCCGCCCTCATCAGCAAAATCGCCAGCAGTAGCCTTGCCACAGCCCGTGACAGAGGAATCTCTTGCACTGATAGTCCTGCCGCCATCCACAGCAGCAGCACCTGCACTGATTGGTTCATCGCCACCAGAAGTAGCAGCTTCATAGGCCCGTACGGCAGTCTCGCTGCCCCAAGCCATGTCACGAGCTCTGCTGGCCTCGGTGCTGCAAAAGGCAGCAGCCGGCCAGAGCTCACCTTCCAAAGGCAGGATGCCAAACTCGCCGTCAAGAGACCACAGCATGCTAGGTCCGATGCCCTTGGCGAGCAACCTCTGCAAAGCCTGCCTTGCACCAAGGAGATAGGCCTGTCGCTTCTCCACAATGAAACTCACAAGAAGACCAATGGCCCTTGCCACTTTTGCATCACTGGCGCCCCCAAGCGCCCCGGATGCACCCCAGTTGCCACCTCCCAGGCGGCAGTGATTCCAAAAATTGTGCCTCGCTTCCAAAGGGGAAACTTCGCCTTGCTGGCCAGACCAGCTCCATGGTGCTACGGGCCCGCAAGCCCAAGGCCTGAGGGGTAGACTCAAGCCATCGTTGTCGTCTTTATGTAATTGAGCTGTCATAGCTCTGAGTCGCCTTCGCATATCAGAAGAAAAGGTGGCCGCGCCACCAGAGGAAGGAGCCATTGCCTGCCCCCTCCCACGCACAGCAGTTTTAGCCGGCTCTACCCAGCCGTTGCCCGTTTTGGAGCGCTTGGAGCTAACTGCAAGCCAAAACGCCTGTTCTCCGTAACCGTTGTGTTTAGGAAGGGCGCTGTGAGCGAAGTTTACAAAACTCAGTTCCCTCATCAGAAATTTTATTGCCCAGAAGATATATTGGGCAAACGGAAATATCGGCGAAGGTATAAATGCACCGACGGTATCCCCGGAGAATATATGGGGTATAAATTCTCATATCTTGCTTTCGCCTCTTGGGACTCCAATCAAATGTATCCTCGCCACTTAATGAAGAATATCTAAAGAGATAGCAACTGCCGAAAGGAGCACGCAGGATGTTTTCAAACGGATGGCGGCAGGCTCACGCAGGCATCTAATTCTTGAACAGGTCTTTGACGTGTCGGGAAGGCGCACCTGTGTGCCTGTGCCCCCCCTTCCGCAGGCCGGCACGTCACCAAGGAGACTTCTCTCTCTTTCTCTTGCCTCTGAAGCGTGGCCTGCCACCGACCGTGTCGCGGATGGAATCCACTTCACGGCTGCTCAGCTGTGCACGCCTGGCTTCGTAAAGAGTGTGAAGAAAGGAAAGCGGCAATTCGGAGTACTGCACTGGGACCCGCAACTCCTCAGAGAAACGGTCGAAGATTTCGTTGGTTAAATCATCGGCCTCCTGATTTTCGTCCCGTGGACGCCATCCCAAGTTCAACCGCAAGCCGGCCTTCATGAGAACATGGGTGAGCTGCATGTTCACCATGAGCAAGGGCCAGCGCGTTGTAGAACCCTTGCGAGTCAAGCCCTCGTTAGACTTATTATCCGTCTGAGCTAAAACCTCAACCTTCATCAAGCGCCTAGTTGGCCCGGCTTCAAGGTGACCGAAGATGTGCAGTGCGGCCAGCGTGGCCAGCAATTCAGCCGATGCCGAAGCCCACTGACTGTGACCTTCTGAGTCAAAGAGGTAAGGGGCCTCTGAGGGAGTAAGTCGAAGTGAGAACCATCTGGACTCCTGAGTTGTGCCTGCGCAATCCCAACCCCCAAGGACCACGTACCCGTCCGCGCACTTTGCATCAGTGCGGAAGGCCACGCCTGCTCTCTTGACCGATCTTGCTGCGGCGACCTTGAACGTCATGTCCCTGAACGTGAGGTCAAGATATTCAAGAGTAAGGATGACGGTGTCGGGCATCCGAGCGACTGAACTGTCGTTCACCGCTGCCCTCCAGCTGTAAAGCGGCGCAAGGTGTGCCTTAAGCCAAACCAAAAGCCGAGCAACGAAGCCCAGTCTCCCTAAGAACTCAGCAAACCTGCGAACCGAAACAACAAACTTAGAGGACCGAGCCTCAGCGATCCATTTCAAGAGCCACTGGCCCCGCGATTCCGAAATTCCAACCCTCTGGTCTGGATAAGAAAGTTCGTAACCCACAAAAGCCGAAGTGAGCCCACCGCGGAACTTCTTGTATGCGAAAGGTGTGCCAAACATCTCGAAGCATGCTAGCCACATGAGCAAATGATGAAATTTCTCCCTTCCTGCGAAGTTGGCGTGAACATCATCTACGAAGACGAGGTGATAGAACCACAAGGTCAAAAGAAAGCGCGCGGTGCAGCGGCCGATGATTCCGAACAATCTAGACCAAAGGAAGGCGGATGATGAAATACCGAACGTTCCTACTTTGTTGTACCAAACGACCGGCGTGTCGTTGCGCACCTTACAGCACAACAAAGGCCAGTCGGCCTCTCTGACAAGGAACAACCTGTGAGCCGCCGTCACATCGCCGGTGAGGCAAAAGGTGGCTTCCTGACTTTGCTTTGCGCTACGCACAAGGTGAACTACCTCCTGGGGTCCGGGATTAGATTGCTGATTAAGTAGCCTAATACCATTGTTGACATGCACACCGTGGGTGCCATCGTGTAATGGCCGAGCGGAGCCGTCTGGTTTAATCAAGGAACCTAAAGAAGCTATCCTAACCCTATCCCGCCCGTACTTTTGCTCAAGAACCGGCAACGTGGAAGGCGCCATGCGCCCAAGAGCCTCTTCCTCTGCAAACTTCTTCTCAAGCTGATCCGACGTTTCGTTTGCCGACGAATAGTTCTCGCGATGCCACTCGACATCCGATTCATCGAGCTTGCGGGACTTGTGTTTGTACTCGTACACCTGTGGCAAGTGAGGCGCGGGGCAGTCATAACCGATCGCGACCCCGCTGACATAGGAGTCCTCCTGGCAAGAAACGGCTTTCCAATCTGGGTCCTGCAACAGCCGCGCTGTCGCAGACACAGCATGCAAGAAGAATGGCTGGCCACTCGGCACCACATCAAGATCCGTACACTTGCCTCCCGAAGCAGCCTCTATGCAACTAAACCACTCCTTCCTAAGGACCCTTAACATCTCGGGAGTGAAAGGTGATTCCTTAAGGCGGCCTAGCGCAAGCTCCATCGCCGTGCGCCTGATATCAGGCACGACGTCCGCTACAAAGTCTCGAAGCACTTGATGCATGGCAGTGGCGAACTCCAAAGCCTGCTTGGGCAGCAGGCCCCCCCTGGCTTCCGGAGGCCATCTAGTGGGTGAGCAGAGTCCAAAGCCATCCGTGATCGGCTGAGTTTTGCCATCCCACTCGAGGTTCAAAGGCAGCCCGATGTTGTGGCACTCCTGATGCTTGAAGGGCTCCGGTCTTTCGACCTCGCCCCCCTCCAGCACCTCCGAATCATCTGACTGGACCGCCTCAAGATCAGCACTGTGCTCTTCGCCCGGAAGGACGAAACCATGCCCGCGAAGGAACGCGAGATCCTCATCGCATGCCTGAGTATGCTCCGATACACTGAAAGCTATGATGACTAATCTCTTACCTTTCCAGGGCATTGTGAGGTGAAGATCGCGGTAAGCATGTATGTAGGTGGGCGTCTCACTGATCGGAAGAAGGTGACCACTTAAGCGCTTACCGTCAACAATCTGAACAGACTCCCCATCCTGGGCCTCGACCCAGATCTCTCCTCCTACGAAGTCAGTAACCCCTATTATCCCATTGGGCAAAGGTGCGTTCCTGGAGTCCTTGTGGGGCTTGGTGCCGGTGTTAAGGTAAAGGCTAATCGTGGTAAAGGGGTGCCCGGGCATGTTGCTACGCACGAAGGATGCCAATGCTTCAGTGGAAGCCGGGAAGCCTTTGCACGCGGACCTGAGCCCGATCAGGCCTCCACCCTTCCGGTACAAGCCTGTCGAAAAGCTGCTAGGAACCCAGTTAGAGGACACCGCCGACCTAGGCGGAGTCTCATGCGGCAGCAGTTTGAAGAGAGCATGGACCTCGGCCCGAGTCGGGGCTCTCGACGAAGAAATGATGCGTGCGAACTCCTCGGCTTCAATGTGTTTCTTAACCCCCCTAGGTGCTGCCTTCGGTTGCGGTTGCCCCGAAGAGTCTGGCGACGGCAACAAAGTGGAAGGAGGTGCTTCCGACTCGATCAAGCCAACCGCCTCTACCCTATCTGTAACCGCCTCTACCCTATCGGAAACCACCTGATGCAGCCCCTGCGGCACTTCACACAAATCCTGATGCACCTCCTGCGTCGCCTCGTGGGATTCCTGCATTGGACCTGCCTCACCTGGAACGGAGCTGTGCGGCGCTGACCCAAGTCCCCCCTGCGAAGCGGAAGCAAGCACAGCATGCGCAAGCCACTCACACAACAGAGGAGGATAGGCTGCTGATGACTCGGTCGCCCAGCGGGAGCCTTCTCGGCCTGCAAGTACTTTGTCGTGTTTCCCGCGCGGGCAGCGTGGCGGCAACGGCCCCACGTAGCGATCGCTGGAGTCGAAGCGTGGCCATGAAGCAAAAGGCGGAGGCTGCTCGACAAAGGCCTGTAGATTAGTGAGAAGGCGGGTAGGTTTGGAAGTGGGAGCCTCAAAGCTGCATTGAAAGAATGCAAAAGTGATGGCCTGAGTGGAAACCTGGAGCTCACGCAGAGCTGGTAGTTGCCAAATGGAAGCCGGTAACTCGTGATCCGGCGTCGCGCCGAGATCCTCCGGGTGCTCCAGGACATACTGCCATGCAAGTTGACATGCCGTCACGGTCTGATCAAGAAAATAATTAGCCTGCTCCACCTGCTGCTTGTGCAAATTGCTTAACCATGGAAAACCTCTAGGATAAAATGCTGAACGTAGTGGCTTTGGCCCGGGGTGGCGATGCCGGACTCTGGAAAATGTCTCACAAGGAGGAGAGGCAATGAGGATCCAATCCCCTTCGCCAAGCAATTGAAAGATGTGCTGCCACAAGCCTTCCTTAGTCAAGTCATGCTCCGTGGAGCGCTGAAGATCGAACTGAAGAAGATTAGTGACATTGCCCAACGACTGAAGGTAAGAGCCCACATCACCTTTGCGATGGGGCCCCGCGAAAATGTAGAGCACACGTAGCCCGCTCGGACTGTACAGCTGAGGCTGGTATGCGATGTGATCTGATGTTTCAATGGTAGAGACCGAATCATGCGATAGTCACTCCTTGGGCTTGCCGGTCTTAAGCTTATGCTCGGTCGCTGAGTGGGGCTGATAACAGCCCTTGACCCGGCACACGTGCAAGCGTTCGCATGAAGGATTGGTGCAGCCCTGCGAGTTGAATGCAAAGCAGATGTCGCGGCCTTCCGGCGTGCGCCAAACCAACTGAAGGCCCTTAAGTGCCGGGTCCGAGGGGCTTTTGCCGTTCTTGCCCCCCTTGGAGTCTTTGCCCTTGCCGCCCTTTCCTGTCTTGCCCCCGTCCTTGCCGTCCTTGCCTTGCCCTTGCCTTTGTGCCACTTGCGTGGTCGCTCAATGATGGACAAGGCGAGCGGCGTCGTGAAGTAGGTCTCCTTAAGCTCCGCTGAAGAAATGACTGAAGCCAGAGCGCCTGCCAGAGTATAACCCTGATCATTGACCAGACGGAAAGCCTCCTTGCGCAACCGGTGCTCATAGGCCAAGACTACTTCCCAAGGTGGCGAAAGTGAAGGCACATCGGCTGGCTGATGAGAAGTAGGCACTGTGAGCTGCGCGACCTTTTCGCCAAGGATGTAGTTCACGAAGTGGTCGAAGTCAGACAGCTTGAGATCCTGAAGCCACTGCTTGGATTTAAAGCGGGATGCCATGCACAGCCATGTGAAAGCTTCCACGCGAAGGACCTTGCGATAAGCTTCTGTAGTAGTCGGGAGCTCACTCTTGGATTTGTGCTGAGTAATATGAATTCGCCCCGAAGCGTCAAGGCTGGATTGGATGCTCGTGGTGAGCGTGTTCTTCTTCGAAGTTATGGCATCCAAGGTTGAAGCCTGGGGCTCATTGGCTTCGCACTCCTCGCACTTGAGAGCGAGGTACTCAGACGATGGAGTCTCCGACTCTCCCAGCTGCCCGTGAACGGCCGCTACCGCCTTGAGCATTGCTTGCCTCTCTGTGACTTGCAAGATTCGCGGCTGGCCTAACACTTTCGCCTCTGCTCGCGTTTCCGTCTCTTTGCTGATTACGTCGCGTGCAAGTTCCCATGCAGCGACGACCCCCGCGATTTGTTGTCGCCCTTCAGCAGCCCCATCATCAAAACCAAAGTCCGCCTTCCCAGCAGCCCGAGCTTCCGGCCGGGAATCGGCGATTGCCTGGAATCGCCTAAGTGTTGTATGTCGTTGCACAATGCGATACTGGGCATCCAGAGACAAGCCAGCTTCTCCGAGCACAAACTGCAAGTCGCTATCTGCTTTGGTTATGAGCTCGCGCTTCTCGGCATCTGTGGCGGCCATTGCGACAACAGTAACTAACTCCAGCTACTCCTGATGCGAAGGCCGCGCCCCGGCCTGTGGCCCTGTAGGACTTGGATTGCTAGCCGCCCTGAGGCCTTTAGCTGCACTGCGATGTGTCCACCCGTCGCCCTGAGGCCTGTGACAGGATGCAGAATCCGTCGGCACCTCACGGCCTGCGCCGAGTGAGACTTCCTCCTGCTTGAACAGCGCCAGCACGTGCACTTAATCAGCATGAACTGTTATCGCGAATCCACTTCAAGACGCCCTGAGAAAAGTCAGCATGGACTGTTATCGTGGATCTACTTCAAGGCGCCCTTGCATAAGCAACTCATGCCAACTTCTGGCTAGGACTTGCAGGGCACAGCCTATACACAGCAGTCGAAAGCATCTTTTGCCTTCACATCGACTCGCTCCCACTGTCACTGCTGGAGGGGTCTGATTCCTCCTCTCCGGCCTGAGCCTTCATTCTTGCTTTGCAATCTTTGCAAATGTTATCGACGTCCTCCGCGCCGACATGATTGACAAATTTTACATCGTAACAATTCTCAGGTTTGACATAGCAGCCCAACATGTGCAAACGCCTCAGGCCTGTGGTGCGAGAGGTAACGATGAAGTAATCCCCCCGGCTGCCTGGCATCGAGACCTGCTCGACCGGAGAAGGTGGTGCCGCAACACCCACTTCCAATGCCAGAGTTGGCCACGATCCGCCCAAGCCTTTGGATCCCTCGAGGAGGGTGTGACGGCGACGAACCTGAGATTCGCTCTCCCCCGCCTTAGCTGCATAGTCCGTCAAAGCCTTGATGGAATCCACCTCGATGTAGTGCTTAGGCTGTCCGGTGACAAGAGAACAAGCAATGTGACTCTGGAGACGATGCACAACCTGCCTAGAAGTGCGAATGTAGGTTGCAGAACCTTCGCCACCTACCTTCCAGCGACCCAGATAATCAAGCTCCCTGGGGTCGACATCGATGGCCGCTCCGACCGAGCTAAGGAAGTTCCTCGCAGAATGGCCCGTAAAATGACTGGAAGTGTATCCTGGGAGCAGCGGACGCTGATCATTGGCCTTCCAGGTGCGCCCCTCACGCTTGGGCGTCTTCAACTCACTGAGAACTTTGCGGAAGTAAAGGGCCACCGTGGAGGAAGGCACCGACTTCTCAAGGGGTTCCGTGAAACCTTCATTGGCCTTCAAAACCAAATAATCCCTCTCAAAATCGAAATCCTTCCAAAGTGCATATCCGACCTTCAGCCAATCATGCCCTGTCAGAGAGATACTCCGTTCCACGAAGACCTTGACGGTGTGGGTCCTTTTGTCGGGCCCTGTAGTCTTGGACCGCGCGAGATCAATGCTAAGCCCTCGCTCGTCCAGAAGCATGGTCTGCGGCAGGAGCCCCTGAACATCATCAGCCCGAAGCGATCCCCAAACCATCAATAAGCAAACAAAGCCCAATGCTCTCAAGTAACTAGGCTCCCCAGGCGTGCAAACGAAGATCTCACATGCGAGGATGATAGCAACGGTGAGCATGCTGGCTGGCTGCTCCGGCGGTGCCGCCGAAACCAAATCGGCTGTGTAACTTTTGAGCTGCGCCTGCCATGTGGGATCCTGGGATATCTGCTGCGTGGACGGCACGCGCCCTACACCTTCAATTACACTGAGAGAGGCTTGCAGGCTTTCGAGAACTGTCTTTCCACATCCTTCCTGGAATCGTTCATTGGCATAATCTAGCACATCAGCTACCCCTTCCGGATAACTTCTGCCACGGCTATAAAGCAACCATTCCCGAAACTTATCCCAAGCCCTAAAGCGATTCCTCAATGTCTTGGATCGACGGGTCCCGAACAGCCGTGGCCAGGCTTCCTCGGCATTGCTGACCCCTGCAAGCACCTTGCACACCGGCAGTTGCGCCTCCTGCATGATGGCTGCAAGACGCAATGCATACTCCTGCCGAAGTCGTATCTCTTCAGTGGCCCTGGCACCGCGATCTACGACCCTATCAGTAGCTAACTTCCGCTTGCGAAGAACCGGAAGCAACGCAAGTGGACTCTGAAGTGCGATCTGATTGTAATGCTCATGCAAGCTAAGGCCAGTTCCCGGGACACTGGGCAAGCACTCTGTCAAGCGCCTCCTTGCTTCCCTGCGCCCACTCGCAACTGTGCGGGCATTGTCTGCATGCCATTCAAGAAGTGCATCCGCAATCAACTGCAGGCTACTTTCAAGAAGCGTGTTATCGCAAGCCCTAAGCAATGATACAAGCTCTTCCCTCGTGTCGAATGAGGCATACAATTTCTCAGGCGTGCTAAACCACTCTTCAAGGCGGTTGCGGTATGGTGGCACTAAAGCGGGCCATCCGAGTCCTGTGCCACTCATGGCCGACCATGGGCCGCAGGGCCACCCTTCTACCGCTTTCGTAGTCCTAAGGTATGGAGCTACCGTGAAACTAAGCTGCCCAGTCATGCGTCACAACGATGCTTGTGAATGCTAGCCCCATAGAATCAAAATTTTCCCTGCTCCTGAGCCTGAGCTCTGCGTCCATGATAAGCATTGAGATTGTGCGCGCACTCAGCTTCTGGCTCAATTCTGAAAAGCGCACGATGCGTGAAATAAAATAGAAACTCAAAACTGCTAGATAAAACTTTTCTCTTTGAAACTGCGGAGATCTTCGAGTTGGTCTAGTCGAGGGAACTCCTCCTACCCACAGAGACACCCCGCCCCGCCCACCCAAAACGTTTACTCTAAACAGCGCCGCCGGGCAAGCCCGGCAGGGCGGTACTGAACCTCCACTGTCGGCCGGTCTGATAGACCAGGTAGGGATCATGTTGATGCTGATTGTCGCACTCTACAGCCATGCTAGACAAGCGAGAATCACTGCACCGAAAGCGACTGTGCTTGGGTCTGCGACCGCCTTTCATGCAATTGTGGAAGCGCACATCTATCATGCGGCGCCACCTCTCAAGTAGGGCAGGGTCTCGAGATTGTTGCACGAAGTACGCAAGCACTCCCCAAATCCAGGAATTATTGGGGTTCTCGATGCTTAAAAAGGTGGATGAAGGTAGGGCCCTAACGAGCTCCACAACGAAACGACACAATTCGTTAGCCTTGCGAACCCTTGCTTTGTCGGAGTCCGACAGGTTGGGGAGGCCCAGAATGTGATCGTTATCCCTCAACGGGACAGGTTCAGGAGCACCTGCCAATCTCGCCTTCTTGCTGATGGGCCTTTCTCGGGCTCGGCTACCCGTGCCACAGGGCAAGGCAATGTGAATGGCAAATGGTGGATGCAACAAGAGCCTGTCCAGGAGCTGTTTTTGACACGTGGTTTCCGTAAGGTCCAGCATAAGAAGCGGGTGTTCAGGTACGTGACGGTTCCAAGGAGAGTCAATCGCTAAAACGTCAAACCCCAAAGCCTGGCAATGCTTGGAAAGCCGTGCGCAGCCTGCGAAGATCTCGACGAAGAGAGGCTTGCAGGAGTCGGCGACAGCAAGGGGGGGCTTAACGGGCTCGGGATTAGTCTTAGGGATGGGCCTTGGACCCGCGGGGGGCAAGGGAAACTCTAGGTCCTCAAGGAAAGTTCGCGTCTCCTGAGGCATGCAATCGGCTCCTCGGGCCGTGTAGCCCACCAGAACACTGCGCTCGCCCTGCCAGGCCAAAGTGGCGTGTCGGCGGTTCGGCGCATCAAGATAGCAAAGCCCCTGGGACACCGGCAGTGAATCTCCCCAGAGAATCTCGCCCTGGTGTTCGAAAGGAACCTTTCCCTGGGGAGACTCGATCCAGACATCTCCGGCAGAAAATTTGGACAGCGGATAAAGAAGGTTGCAGCTTCTCGAATCGTTGGCGGTATCTTGGTGAAGCTGTGTTCGAAGATTTGTGAAGACGGCAATGGTTGTGCAAGTAAAATCCTTGTCAAGCTGATGTACGAATCTTGCAAAAACTTTGGTACTCAAGGGGTACTGCTTGCTGGTGTCACGTACCTGCAAGCACTGCGATCCTGAAAAAGCAAAGGCCCCCAAACTAACAGAGCGCCCTCCGGAACCGGTTCCTCGGGAAGGGATTTCAGAAGGCAATGCTAAACTAAGACGAAAAAGATCATCCGAAGTAACAGTGGGCTGAGCAAGGAGCCGGTCGGCCAACTCCTCAGCCGAAAGACGCTTGCCACCGGTCTCGTCATCCCTGAATGAAGGAGTCATCACGCCGGCAGCTTCAGAATCTGGTCACTGAAACTCTGGGCACTCAGAGGCCGGATGCGGCTCCAAACACTTCCAGCACAGGTGGCGGCCTCGGCGGCAGCGCTTACCGGGTTTGGCGAACCCGCAGCCCTTGGTGTTAAAGCTGAAACACAGCGGCTTTCCAGCCGAATCCTGAGAGTGGCAACCCTGCGGGACAGACCACTTCTTGGCTCCTGAGTCACTGGGTTTCTCCGCGCCGGGAGTGTCCTTGCGAATCTTCAGGGCTTTCTGATTTTTGTCCTTGCCGCCCCCTTTCCCGTCCTTGCTGGGCGGGCTGTTGGGCACATGCGGAGCTGGGGGCGGAGGCACAGATCGCATCAGCGGAAGCAGGTAGCACTGAACCTGCGTGTGATCCTTCCACTTTGCAAGCGAGACCTCAAAGGGGTACGAGCCGTCTGAGCGCATGGACAGTGAGCCACGCGTGTCCTCGGCGATCCTCGTCCACAGGAACTTGTCGGCTTCACGAAGCTGAGCAATCGAAACTCGCTGATGGCCGGATGGCTGGGTACGCATGTGCACCTGCAGCAACTGATCATGCCAAGATTCGAGGTACTCGTAACGGCAGATTCGGGCCAATTCGAAAGCCAAACTCCTCCGCTGAAGTGCCAGTTTAACGGCGTATTCGCCTATGGAACTGCAGGAGGGCTCAGCTGAGCGTTTCACGAGCTTGAGGTTCCCGGCGCTGTCGAAGCTGACCGATTGATCGGTTTTGTCAGATGTGATTTCCAAAGCTCGGCTCGTGAGGCGATCCCACGGAATCCAAAGCAAGGACTGATCAGAAACCATCTGAGCAACCAAGTCTTGCAGCTTATGGGAAGGCTCAATGTCGGATGTCCAATGAATGCCCACAAGTCTCTTCTGAAGAGCGGCCAGGCGTTGTGTGCGCTCGGCCAAAGGCATCCGAACAGGTTCAGAAGCATCTGTGCGCTCGACCTTGCCACGCATCTCAGCGAGAGCCTGAGTGGTGCTTTCGAACCACAAGCGGCGAGCAATGCTCAGAAGCCCGTCGTCCGGAGCTGAGCCCAAAGCACGTTTCAGCATGCTGATGAGTGGACCCTCATCGGTCGTTCCAGCTTGAAGAGGCCCGATGAAGGCGAGGGCTCCGAAGGTGTCCACATTGATGGCCGCCAATTTGGCCAGGGTCTCCTCGGTAAAGTTGAGCTCGAGTGCCCTGGCCTTGAAGGCCGCTTTGCTGTCGAGGCTGGACATGATTCACACGGCAGCCGGCTTGAACAAAACTGCATACATGTGGACAAAAGCTGTAAAGACTCCAGACGTTCGCAGATTACGCAATGCACCACACAGCGAGAAGGAGCGCCCAGGACGGTGCCCGGGGATGCAGAAAACAGCTTGTAAGAAAACATTGTTCCAAGGCGTCCAACGGCTTGGGGTTAAGGTGCCCCGAGTACCGCCAGCGCAGATGTAGTTGCTCATAGACCCGGCTTGGCACCACCCTTGAGACCACTGCAGGCTGGGAGAGAAATTTCTCCGATTACCTGGGTCTTTCGGCTGCTCGTGCTGAAGAGGCTTTCTTTTGCGAGAATAGCAATACGTGCGCCAGCTATTTAACTGGCTCGGTGGATTTGGCTGCACCGCTTACAAACAAGCAGATCAGAGGCCGGTACGGCCTTGTCCAGCTCGTCAAAATTGCGGGTGATGGGTCGGCCACACAAAAATTTGGCACCTTCAGCAGCCTGTATATGCACTGTACGACTGTAAATGTGCATCTTGCTGTATACAGAAGAGATCTGAGCAGCGTTCAAGCCTTCGTCCAGGGGGACTCCACCGGCTCGGGCCTCCAGATCCTCTGGGCTGATGTCGGAATCACCAGCTTCGGAATCGGAGACATATGGGTCCTGCTCGAGGAGTTTCTCCTGCAGCTGAGGACCTGACTCAGCCTGAACCATGACAGCTAAACGCATCACGCGACTGTCATCAGGCTTAAAGTGGCAGGAACGGATGGCTTTCAAGATATCCTCGAAAATCTTCATCAAGCGGCACAGCTCGTCACGGCTGTAGGTCAGAGGGGACCGGGAATCAGGGTCCAAGTGGTGCCCTGCAATGCGGCGGTCCTCAAAAGAAACGCCTCCGAATTTGGCTAGCCAGCTAAGAAAAGTGGCCTTCATACTGTGACTGCTGATGCGGGACTCCGAAGGAATGTCAATGTGACTGGCTACGAGGAACTCACGCAGGTACATGGTAAGCTCACCAGTAGACATGCGACGCTCCAACCAAGACTGCGAGGCTTCGCTGAATGCAGGCAGTGACGGATTGAGGCCGAGGCCAGCATCGGTTCGGGCTTCCATCCACAGCGGCGCCCAAATCGTGGGGTACACGAAAGATCCCAGGCAGAGCAGCGGCAGAAGTATGGTCTTCCGTTCGCCAGTACCAGTCTTGTAAGATGCAGACGATGCTTCCAAAAGATGCACGGTTCCCGCACTCTGAAGCTCCAAAGATTTGAGGTGGATTGTATCCGAAAAGCGAGAACAGCTTCCCACACAGAAAAGAATGTGCCCAGCAATCACACGCCAATGAGGATACGGAGGCTTCACCACGATCCTTTCCAGAGCCCGAATCATTGGAACTGACAATGGTGAGGCCTGGACCAGCGGCTTCTTAGTGGCCGCCAACGCTGCAGCAGCTCCTCGCACACGGCCTGACAAAGGAGATTGGCCTGCAAGTTTTGCGAAACCCAGCAGCGCTGACAGAAAATTCCAGCTTTCAAGAAAGGCCTTGGCCGATGTAGGAGCTCCGTGGGCCTGCAAGTCCTGGATATATGCATAGACAGCCGCCTCGCTCGCTCGAAAGGGCGAGCCAAAATCGAACATCAAGCAAAACTCGGCAAACTTCCAGAAAGAGGAAGCTCGTTTGGCCAATGTTGCAGTGCTCTTTGTAGCGAACGTGTCAGCAAAGGACTTCTGAAGTCTCTCAGGGTCAGACAAGATAGCGGCCTCGCCGATGAGAAGCCGCCCCAGCTCCGATGCAGCAGGATCAAGTAAAGTCAGGGTCTTAATCTTACGTAAAGCCTCAAAGCGCACAGAATCATCCGACCGAATCAGCGCAGCAAAACGAGCCCGCTGCCGAGCAAAGGCCTGAGTGGCCGAGGGCAAAGCATCTTGCGGAGCCTGCTGTATCGCCGAACTGACACCGGCAGCAAGCTGAGGCGGTGGGCTTGGGAGGGGAACCAAGGGTGCAGGAGGCCTAGGGGACCCAAAGACTAGACCAAAAACCCCGAGATCCCACGGCATCTGAATGCATCCGGAGCGGGAGTCACACAATTGTGTATGCGAGATTAGATCGCCAAGATCATCAAGGCCTCGTTTCGTCATGACTGATCACACACTAGTCTAGTTCGTCGAGGCGGGAGACCTCGAGCTGCGATGCTACCACACAAAGCTGGTGACCTAAGTTCTGAAGCTCGGCCTGCAAAGCGGAAGTGAAGCGCTCCCGCCAACGCAAAAGAAGCTGTAACTCAGGCTCCAATCGATTGACTGAGTCCACAATCTGGGTAACCACGTTGTTAAGAGATGCTACTTCAGAAGACTGACCCCTGGCTGTGTCGAAGAAAAGCAATGCTTGATTACTGCGTTGTCTTGTTCCAGCGCCTCCACACGAAGCACTGTAGCGTTAAGCCGTCTTTGCACTTCACGCAGCTCAGAAATCTGCGTTTCAAGAGTGGACACACGACGCTCAATGCAGAACAGACGGAAGTCTGCAGCTCGCAGAAGCTCAACGGCCTCCTCGATGCTATGGCCAGGAGCCAAGTCCATGTACCCCATTTCGGGGTAAAAGCTCCCCCCCCGGACGAGTGGAGAGGTGAAAATTTTAGCAAAGCTCTGCACAGTGTATGCTAATGTTGACTCAGTTGTCACTCGACTGCAAGTGTGCACTGAGCCATGCTGTGTTGAGCGGCGCGGGTACCGACATATGGTTCAACTTCAATCAACAAGCGTAGTCAGAAAGCATGTTGTTTGAGTGAAGTTGTGAGTTGATCTCAAATTGGTTTCAAAGAAAATGTTGTAGAAATGGTTGTGAGTCAAAAGCTCACTTCAAACGTGCAATAAACAGACGATAAATAATTAATCATTGCGCTGCTGGACCGGCAGCTATGAAAACAGAAAAGACAACTTAGTCGCTCCGCGAAATCGCCCAGAAAAATGCAGCTGACCTTGAAGGCGTGAGTTAAACGTGTGAGGCCGACTTGACCAGACCCAAACATTGCCCCGAAATTAAAATAGCCCGCCCGCTCACCGACCACTGATGAGCGGACGCTCTGCCTGGAAAATGAAAAATGCTCTTGCAAGTGCTGGAGGCAGCCAGCATAATCCGGCTGAAGAGTGCATGCAGCCGCTGCCGACCCGTCCAGAAGAGGAGCGTCGGGACTGTCCGCGGCCAAGGCCACATTGTCTGCGGTAGACGCTGACTGGGCACCTACAGCAGAACCCGGGGATGGGACATGGAGCGCCTCAACTCCACCGCTGCCCGTGCAGGCTGGCGCAACCGCCTGAACCGGGCCCCCTCAATGGGGGTTTGATCTGTGGGATACAGCCGAATGCTTGCCCCCACACGCCATGCCATCCGACCTGGGCACATTGCACACATGAGCGAATCTGCAGTCCGCACGCTTGCACCCTTCCTTGGTGTTAAAATCACGGCAGATGGTGAGCACCTGACCTGAGACCTTGACTGTATCGGCACGCGAAGCCGTCGACTGCTTGCCCTTTCCAAAAGCCTTGCCCATAAAACCTTTGCCTTTGGATCGGCCTCCCTGCTTGCCTGGGAAAGGGCGCTTCCCTCGGCCCCCGTACGGTTGCTGCAGGTACACATGGAGCGTCATACGTACATCAATGATCTCGGCCACGGCATCTCCTAAATCCCAATCATGGTAGGCGTAAAGCTCGTTATAGATCCGGTCATCCATGACAATCACATATTTGAATCAAGTATAAGAGTCTTGATCAAATATTGTAGATTCCATCATATAAAGAATTGTTGACCAAATATATTGGTCTGACCCAAATATATACAAAAGGATATGAAATTGATGCAAAGACGCTCACTCTTCTTTTCACGGCACAGCCGAGAGTCGTGGGAAGTTTTCAAGGAAAACGAAGGTGCACAGGGCGTGCACCGGGCACTAAGAGTGCCCCTCCACTTAAGCAGAGGCACACGAGTGCCCCCCAGAGTCCAGTCGCACGATGGAGTGCAACGTGACCACATTCTTCCCCCAGGGCGGGTTGGGTGGGATCAAAAATTCTGGCTCGATCTCGAGACAGCCTCGATGATTGCAGATTCAATCATGACCAAGTGTCCGTTTAACCGCATGGTTTAAAAATCGTTACTCGACACGAGAAACGAAATCATGCAACAGCATTGAAAGTTGTTAAAAGTCTGGATTGTGAAGCACTACTAAGAGTAGCGCAAAGATTGTCATGGCCCAAAATTTTGTTGCTAACAAAATTTCGTTTGACCTAGGATCTATAAAACATCGACACGCACGCGTGAAGTGATGCTTATAGATCCGGTCATCCATGACAATCACATATTTGAATCAAGTATAAGAGTCTTGATCAAATATTGTAGATTCCATCATATAAAGAATTGCTGACCAAATATATTGGTCTGACCCAAATATATACAAAAGGATATGAAATTGATGCAAAGACGCTCACTCTTCTTTTCACGGCACAGCCGAGAGTCGTGGGAAGTTTTCAAGGAAAACGAAGGTGCACAGGGCGTGCACCGGGCACTAAGAGTGCCCCTCCACTTAAGCAGAGGCACACGAGTGCCCCCCAGAGTCCAGTCGCACGATGGAGTGCAACGTGACCACATTCTTCCCCCTCTCGACTATGCGTTACGTTGCTTCAAGAGTGGCGCCTGTGACAAAGCAAGTCGGCACGTCACGAGTGACAGGACCAAGGAATGCCAGCTCCTCCCATCTGCCTCGGGATGGCGGATCCGCGATGTTGCTCTGGCTCGGTACACGATGAAACCACGGCAGGCACGGGCGTGCTTCATCGGCGGCCTCCAAGTGAAGAAGGAGACTCCTCCAAGATGCATCGATCGAGTTCGAGTTGATGCAAGCACTCAAGACGCCGGAATGGTCGACGAAAAATATGCATCGTTCGCCATCAATGTAACTCGACCACAGGATCCTGGCAAGCACGACCGCGTAAAGCTCGACCTGCCCTATAATGTGTTTCCTACCCTCGGCCCATTGCTTGACGAGCTTGCTAGGAACCCTACAACCGAAAGCCCTAGCAACACCCTCGCCGGGGACAAAGAGAACCCCACCGACACCAGTACTGAAGCCGCCCTCGCAAGGGTCGCATGCGCCATCTGTGAAGATGAGGACTGGGTTCGAGGCAGGGCTCGTCACAATGGCACGCGGCCTGCTCGCAAGAAGTCTTGCCCTCAGAACAGCCAAGGCATTCGATTGAGTATCCGTAAGGTTCAAGACACCCCCTCTGTCACCGAAGAGCCTGAGGTCGGCCAGGGCCAATCGCCCTGTGCGACCAAGCAGCTGAGCATCTGCGAAGCGAAGCTTTCCAAGAAGGGATGGCAGCTCCCGCGTGTCTACCTGGCCCTTTTCAAGGATGCGGCCCAAGGACTGTTCAAGCATGGCAGCTCGTTCGGGCTTGTTCGATACGAAGATGCGGCCCATGTCAGGATCGGAGGTATCCAGCACGACACCCAGCGTTTCTGCAGTGCACGAGAACGGCTTTTCTTTCTCGGACAAGGAGAAGCCAAACAGGTCCATGAGGGCATGAACTGCATTGTCAGTCCCGCCAGACAAGAACGAAGGGGTCATCGTCGGGAAATCGTCATAGTAGCAAGTTACGGCCACCCTCAAATCCCAAAGAACCCTCTGCAGGAATAATGCAACCCTGTTAAACTGCATGACCGAGGCTGAAGCTCCGAAAGGAAGAGTGTTGCACACAAAGGCCTTGACGGCGCGGGAGCCCGGCTCCCTGAGCAGGATAACGGATTTCGGCCTCTCGCCAGGGTGCAGTGCGAGCTGCTTGTAGGCAGCTTGAAGATCGTAAGTTTTGCAGTGAGGACGGACACGGTCAGGGTCCTTCCAAGCCGTATGGAGGGGTCCCTTGAGTCTCTCACCGGTGCTGAGCTCAAGATCGAGGGATCCTGAAGATTTTGCCGCACGGCAAACTTGCATGCACAGCCAGCAAATCTCATCGAGGGCCTTGAGGGTAACACGTTCAAAGCATCCGAAACAAGAGTTCACAGCGGCTTCCGAGAAGTCATCGATCGCACGCCACTTGCCCTGCCAGACTGCAAAACGCCGGCAGGCGTTCCAGCCTTCAGGGAACTTGTCCCCCAAAGAGTCAACGTCGATCGGGCCGTCAAGCCAGCACTTCCCCGATCTGTTAGACTCCTCAAGCGTCATGTTCCAGAGCTCTTCGGCATAGTCATGGTCCTTCTGGGCTCTGACTTTTTCAAGCAGGGTTTCCCTCCGGAGGGGAGCACTTGCCCAGAAATCGTCAAGGTCCATCGTGGCAGGTTTGACATCACTAGCGAATACACCCGTACGCCCCAAGTACCCCGTTAGCTTAAAGCCGGCAGCCAGGTCATCGAAGAGGGCCGTGTCAGGCCACGACAAGTCGGCGGCGATCCTCTTCATGAGTGCGATGCGCTTACAACTAAGGACCTTCCGCACACAAGGGTCCATCGCCGATCTGATTTTCTCTTCTTCGGGATCAAGCTGCTTGGCGAGGGCTCGCCACTGTTGTAGCTTCAAAAGGCGGTGCTTCATGGTGTCAACCGGGCTCTTCGTAAGAGTGTCAAACAAGACTCGCAAAAGTTCATCTGGAAGTGATTTGGCAGAATCGAAGGGGTGCACAACCAACTTTGCCTCGTTCAAGAAAGCTTGCATGGATCGATAGACGCCAAAAGTGTAGAACTTGTTCCCCTCTGGGAGTCGCGAACCTCCCCTTTCAACTGACTCCCGGAGGAGCTTGGCGCCTGCAGGGACGACGTGCCAAGAAGCCGAAAGGCAGTGCTTGGAGTTGAGAGTGGGAGCCTCAGCACTGGCGACTGACATAGTGTAAGCAAATTCAGAAATGATTGGCGGAAACTTGCGGCCACGAGGTTGCACCTGACCTGCGGCACGCGCAGCAGAAACCCTGGAGGCCACTAGGCGTTCAGGCGCAATCCCTCGTGATGCAGCTGACTTATCCACGCATGAGACAATCCTTTCGCAAAGAAGTTTGGGATAGCCCGTCTCCTCAGCTGTTGCAAAAGTATTGCCCAGCTTACCCCACGGCAAGTGCGAGGAGCATCCCGGGCATGGTCCCGAAAGGCAGTGCAGTAGCTCCGAGTTTGTGAGGAGGGCGGTGGCCTTCTTGCGTTGTGACCCGTGGCGGCACGAGTCGAATGTGACGAAGGAGTGCTTGGCGAGCAGCTCGGCCCACCTCGGGAGCTGCCACAGGTAACTGTGAAGAGGGTTTTCAACGGAGAAGGGAACATGCGGCATGGCATGCAGCAGCCAGTCACAGAAGGCGGCCATGCTGTCATAAATGGTGTTTGCACTGTCCACTCTCGCCTGCTCCACTGGTGGGAGGCCGGGCAGGCCGCGCACATGACGGACCGAACGCAATGGCTTAGGGCCGGGACCGCACTCCCGAGCCCGGCTAGCGGTGCCGCATGGAGGAGCCATGTGCACCCAAGCAACATCGTACTCGGAGCAAATGCGTCGCAAGAAAGACCAAGTGCTGGCCAGGCGCAAGTCGAGCTGTAAGGTGTGCACACACGTCCGCTGTTTGTTGTGATGCCAGTCGATGGGCACGGCTGTGTATCCGGCCTCTTTGGCAACATAAGACAGCATAGCAGACCCACTACAGATTTCCAGAAACAGCGGTTTCTCATGTCTGGGAGTCGGCTCGGCTTGAGCTTGCGATTTCAAGCGTTTACAAGGAGGGTCGGCGGGTGAGGCGGGACTAGAACCCAAAGGAGCGGGGGCAGTAGGGCTAGACCCAGAAGGTGCGCACTCCAATGGCAAAACAGGCTGAAGAGGCGGAGGGAGCTGTTGCGCCGCGGCAGCAGGAGCACACGGAAAACCCAACGGGAGCAACGTGGCGGGTTGCCCACCTGAAAGAGTGTAGAGTGTTACGACCCACCTCTCACCTGTGAAGGGCATCGTCTTATGCCACAAGTTGCACGGGAAACTAGTGGGGCAACAAAACGTGTCTACGATTTTACCCCTGATGTGATTATCGCCTGCGACAGTGGCTGGAGAAGTGCCCGACGCATCTTCGAGCCAAAGCTGGCCGCCAGTGAAGGTGCCAAGCGTGAAAGTGTGGTTCAGCGAACCCGTTTGGTTCCCTGAGTCCCTGTGGAAATCTGACAAAGTATTCCTGCCCACGCAGATTGCATTCCAGGAAGCTTGAGGCAGAAGCTCCTTGAAAACTGAGTTCAGGCGCAATACGAAGTCCTGCATGGCAAGGGTGGCATGTGTCAAATGTTGCGGACTGCTGGCCCTGGGCCCAAAGTTGTAATACCCCGACTGCGTGGAGTTCACGGACGAAACAGACTTACGTTGCAACACAGACTTGGGCCACTCAGCATTCTGAAGCAATTGCAAAAGTGAAGAAAATTTTCTTGTATCCACACTAGCACTCTGCTGACACGGATCAAGATGCACTAAAGGAGAATCTGTCGGCGCAGGGAAGGCCTGCGGCGATGCAAAACTGTGCCCAGCCAAGCCTGGGCAATCCCGACTCTGAGTCGAGTGCTGCGAGCTGCAGGGCTCGCTTTCCGACTGTCACTCCTGCTTTTGGCCTAGAGCCTCAGCACGCAGCGGACAATCCAATGCAGGGTGCGACTTGCCGCACTTGGGCCATGCGCAAATGTGCAGGCCACGCACGCATCGACCACGAGTCACGGTTTCCCTGCATGTTTTGAGTCCATACCCAAAACATATGTTTTCACCAGCATTGGTGCATGATCTGCAGCCCGCCAGAGCGGCGGGAACCTTCCCGGATCCTTTGGTGCCCTTGGCACCCTTCCCTGTGCCCTTTCGGCCTTTGCCTGGACGATCATACGGGCCAGGCCCGTGCGGCCTCGGCGGCGGTGCCACCTGCTGCGTGACTGAAGCGCCTGCTGCCCGAGGCATCGGCTGAAGCAAATGAAGCACCTCTGGTGACTGCCATGTGTCTTCGAAGATGGCGTCCAATGGACGCCCCCCAGCTTTGAGCTGGATGCCCGAGCGAGTCGCTTCTCCGAGAAGCTGCCAAAGCTTCCTGTCAGCCTGCTGACACTGATCAAGCGTGGGCTGCATGTGCGTCGACGGAGGTGCGTCGAGGCGCGCCGCAAGAAGGCGCTCAACCCACATGTGGTGACGATGGTAGTCAAGGATGTTCGCCATTTCCATAGCGATGCCGCGCCTTTGAAGCGCGAGCTGCAGGAGCAGCTCCGTGCTCGTATCGGCACGGACCTCAACTTTTGTCTCCGACCTGAGCTTGCCCGTACTGTCCAGCGAGAAGAAAGGCTCTCGCTTTGCCCCTGTCGAGGCCTCTTGTTCTTTGGAAACAAGCTTCTCCCACGGGACAAACTGCAGCTTGTCCTGTTCATACTGGGACACGAAGGAGTCGACGAGGCTATCGGCAGGCTCAAGACGGTTCTTGATCGAAAGGCCCACAAGGCGTTTGCTCACTACCTCGAACCTCTCAGATCTCTCCGCGACCCTCAATTTTCTTGGGATGGATTCATCCGTCCGCTCCACAAGCATCTTCATTTCCGAAGTGGTAACAGCATATGCTTCATGAAATAACCTTCGGAAGGAGCTTTTCTGCCCTACAGAGGGCGGCGTCCCTAGGGCCGACTCGAACGCCGCAATGAGGTCCTTGTCATCGCCAGAGCCCGGCGTGTAGCTCGTCATGAAAGCGACCTTTGCGAGTGAATCCACACCCACCTTCTCGAGTTTTTCGACATCCGCAGATGCCAAACCGACCTGGGCACATCGTGATTTGAACACTGGCCCCGACTCGGAGAAGGCCGCCATGGTGTGTTGCTTGGACCACTACGAGCTAAAAGCAGCTGCAGGAGGGCTTTGCTCTTCATCAAATCACGCATCTTGCAGGACACGACATCCAGCAGATCTCTGCTCTTGCACGATACCACAAATGTCAACACTTGACCGGCTTGCGGAGCGCACGTGCATGACATCACCCTTTTGCACAAAATTGCAGGCACGAGCCGGATGCAGAGTCATGTGCCCTGCTGCACAACCAGGTATCTCCTGAAGCACTGCTTGCACCTTGGATGCAAAACTGCGGGTCGCGCCTCCAGCTTCCTGTACTGACCCGAAATGGTCCTACCGCAGCCTAGGTTGGCACCGGCTTCGTCGGCAGTGATGTGCACTACCCTGGATTGGCGATGCCGAAAGAAAACACACGAGGGATCAATCTTGTCAAGGTCGACCTTCCCATGCCAGTCCAAAGCCTCGGCAACACAAGCTTCATCGCCCGAGTGGTCGATCTCCTCCTCGTCCTCGGAGCCCTCCGAGTCTGACGACTCGATCTCGTCGCCGGGGGGATCGGCATGCGCCGACAGCTCGGAAGCAAGCTGCTGCCCCCTTGGTTTGTCGGGCTTGAAGGCCCCCGATGACACCTCGTCGATCATAGATGACAAAGCCCTGAGCGGAGCCGACTGGGCGTCGGACTCATAGATCAGCTCTGACCCCGCACCCGAGGCTCGGGACGTATGATACCCCAGGAGGGCCCTCAGTTCTCGGGGCAGACCACGCTTGCTTGCCCAGCTCAGCAGAGTCCTCTTAAGGCTATGTGTCCCCACATTTGCAAGGTAGGGATCGCTCTGAGCGTTCCCCAGCAGGCTCCTGAGCCACGAGCAAGCCTGATCGCACGGAAGCGGGATCATCTTCCACGAACCATTCGAAGAAGGGCAGGGAAGCAACGGGTCGTTCGGCTTGATCGCAAGACCCGCCTCTGACAAAGCCTCAAGCCACGCATCGGCCCATGCACACTTGATTCCCACTTTCCTGGCAGCCATTGGCAAGTACCTGGTCTTGCGTTCCAAAGTGAAACTAGTCTTGGACCTGCCCACACTGCACTCCAAGTAGAGCGGCGAATCAGTCAGCGATGCGACATTTTGCCCGTCACTGTATCGGGCTCTTGCATAAATCAAGAAAAGAAAGAAGCCTGCAGCGACACGGTCCTGCAAAGACCTGTCTTCAAGCTTACAACAAATCCTTTCAAGAAGAATGACATCGGAGACCCTCAGAGGATTCCGTTGCTTGAGCTTCCTCTTCTGCATGTAAAGCTTCGACGCAAGGCCGCGGACACGACCCGAAGTGTAAACCTTGTCACACCCTTCCAGGCCTACCACATGCTGAGCGAAAGCAACCGAAGAAAGAAGGCTCCTGAACGAAGTTGCCGCTGCTGTGGATTTCTTCTCCTCGAAGTATGCGTAGACAGCATGCTCGGTCAAGGGAAAAACAAACGGCATGTTCCCCTTTGCCCAAGAAACAAACCGCAACAAGCAATTCGCCCTGGCATTGATCGTCGAAGTAGCCTTGGCAGCAAGGCAATCCGAAATGCTGTCTGCAAGCGATCCTGAAGAGATCCCTGACGCTTTGCCGGCGTAGAAGTTCCTAGCTACACCGAAGGTCAAGGGCTCGACCATGACAAGGCTGAGCCACTTATTCACGGCAAGATTTCTCTCCTCATTGATCATAACCTCCCAAGAAGTATGTTTGAACTTGGCCATCTTAGCACACACTTGCTCAAGCCCTTCCGACCTGACGAAGCGAGGGTTCGGCACGGCAGGCTGATCGGCAGAAGGGTTCATTGGGACTACAAGGGGGAGAGGTCCTAGAGGAGGCGGCAAGCGGGGCCTAGGGTCGTGGGCTAACAGCGTATTACCCCAGGGAGTCTTCCACACTGACTTGGAGTCCCGCAGGCAGGATCTGAGGTGAAGGCCAAAACTGGAAGCAAGGGAGCCTGCTTCGTCCCCCATTTCACTACGGCTCCCTCAAGCAGACTGCAAAGGCGGCTCGAGAAACGACCTGAAGGCAGAGCGCAGGCTCTGAATGAGACCCTCAAGCCACGACAGGCGCTGATGATGGCCCGTCTGGTTCACCCAGACGCGAGAGAGGCTCTCTTCCAGTGCTTGCACCTGGGACCTGAGAGCTTGCACCTGAGGCCTGAGTTCGTTAACCTCCAGCTGGAGCTCGTAGATATGCTGACTCAAAATCTCCTGTGTGCTCTCAGAACTTGGCTCGGAACGATGGGACGAACCTGCGGCGAGCGCGTCGCCGAAGTCCATCTGACACCCCGCACCAGGGCGGGGAGTCGTGACGCCCTAAAGCCTTGAGATAAAGGGCCTGGAACCTGCTAGGACGCCGTTACAAGCCCCTAGCGGAGTCCCATCAAAAATTCTGGCTCGATCTCGAGACAGCCTTGAGCCAAAATGGCTACGGACTTGAGGGTACGGACCTCGATGATTGCAGATTCACTCATGACCAAGTGTCCGTTTAACCGCATGGTTTAAAAATCGTTACTCGACACGAGAAACGAAATCATGCAACAGCATTGAAAGTTGTTAAAAGTCTGGATTGTGAAGCACTACTAAGAGTAGCGCAAAGATTGTCATGGCCCAAAATTTTGTTGCTAACAAAATTTCGTTTGACCTAGGATCTATAAAACATCGACACGCACGCGTGAAGTGATGCTTGATGGCCTGCCATGCTTTTTCATCTGCAGTAATGGCTTCGCTCACCGTGGGACCTCGAAAACCGGATTCAAGTTGCGGGAAGCACAGCCGCAAGAACGACTGCACATAACGTTTTAAGACCGACAGGTGAGCAGCCTTGCACAAGGCCAGTGCCGTGGCGTGCATGTTCAAAATGCCTGAAACATAGCCGTACTGGAGGACATGTGGCACCTCCTTAGTCGGTACATCGTCGAAAAGAAGGCTTTCCAAGCGAGGCATTTTCGACGGTCTGGACAGCTGATGGGCCTGCTCTTGCGCCACGGACAAGCGGTGCTTCCACTGTGGCCACTTCAGAGACTTATCCGAAACACCCCTGTACACGAGTGCCATCAACCTGGAACCCGGGGTTTCCTCCAGTGACAGAAGCTCCGAAGGATAAGAGGACAGGAAGTCCTCGCGCATGCCCTTCCACATAGTGGCGTTATTTTCCACGGAGCTTTGCTTTATTTCTAAAGTAAGATTCCAATCACAGTATTCCCAAGCTATATGGGAAAATCAAAGTATATAAAGAATAAGAAAATTGCTCAAGCAGATGTGGCGCTTTTTCCTTCCGGCAAAGCCGAAGGGGGAAGTCGTGACATCCCCGCACCGATCGATGGCGAACACGAGGATCGCCAACGAACACCCCGGGAGTGGAGGGAGGGACAAAATTTTCCGGCCCTTTGGCCAGGGAGCAGCTACCCACCCATCCCACCCCTGTCTCGAGGCGGCGCGGGAAATAAAAGAGATGAACTCAGACGATTCAAAGCATGCATTCATGCCATGAAATGTGGTTCAAAATAAAGCAAAGGCGTTTTGAAAACTTCGCAGTAATTTTCAAAACTCTCCTAGGAAAATAAAGCTAATAGAGGCAAGCCTCATGTGTCGCTTATTTTCCACGGAGCTTTGCTTTATTTCTAAAGTAAGATTCCAATCACAGTATTCCCAAACTATATGGGAAAATCAAAGTATATAAAGAATAAGAAAATTGCTCAAGCAGATGTGGCGCTTTTTCCTTCCGGCAAAGCCGAAGGGGGAAGTCGTGACATCCCCGCACCGATCGATGGCGAACACGAGGATCGCCAACGAACACCCCATTCACTTAAGAAGGAGATCAATCGTGGCATTGCCTTTGATCGGGCATCGAGGCGACACTCTGCACACCTGCCCCCTGACTGGAAAGATTGACTTAGCTCTCGAAGGAGGATCGGCCGGGTTACTTGCACTTGGAACGCGGCTAAACCAAGGGAGCATCGCCTCAGCGTCGCAGCTCTCAAAGATCAGCAAGAGTTGCCTCCACAAAGGGTCTTTCGAAGAGCCTTTCACCAAAGAGGCCAACACTCCGGAGTGATCCACATACATGGTCACCCTTTGCATGTCCAAGTGCTTTGCCCACGCTTCTCTCGCACATACCACTGCATACATCTCAACTGGGCCTATCAAATGCCTTTTCCCGAGAGCCTCCCAGCTCTGTACAACGCTCAAAGGGATAGCACATGCAAAGAAGAAAGTGCACCACGCGCCGTTGTCGAAATGGTACAAGACTCCTCCGACAGTGGCGGGGTGAGTTTCATTCGTCGGCTCGTACGCTCCATCTGTAAAAATCACAGAACGACGAGACCCTACACAAGCCGGGACTATCCTAGGGGTACCCCCAAGAACCCGGGACCTAAGATTACAAAGGGCCTGCACAGCCGTGGCATCAAGGGTTTTGGCCTGAGAACTCATCGTGCACGCCCTAAGATCGGCCAGTGCCAATCTGCCCAATCGCCCGTGCAGCTGACCCTCGGCAAACTGGAGGCGACCGAACAAAGACGGCAGGGTCTTCGGATCAAGATGGCCCGCACTCAAGACGGAGTCCACCGCCTCAGCGATGGCAGTAGCACGTTCGGGCTTATTCCCAATCTTAACTACCCCAAAGCTGCCAAGGTCAACCCGAACGCCTAGTAGCTCAGCCTCATGGCTGAAGGGAAGATCCTTGTCTTCCGCCCAGGCGAAACCCAGCAGGTCCAACGCGGCTCTGACAGTCGACTGCGTGTTGTTACAAAGCGGCAAGACCTCTAAAACCGGGTAATCGTCGAAGTAGTTGCAGGCGAGCACCTGCAAGGCAACCAGAACCCTCTGGAGCAATCTTGCAACGCGATTGAATGAAACCACCGACGAGGTGGCCCCAAACAGAAGGGTTCGGCTCTCGAAGCCAAACGCAAGCCTCGAGACCGGGTCCTTGATGGCCACTATGCTCAGACAGCGGTCTCGTGGAGAAACCGCCAACTGTTTATAAGCACTCTTCAAGTCCACTGTTTTCAAGCTTGGCTGAAGCGCATCGGGTTTCAGGGCCCTCCAGAAAGAATGCACCGGAAAGCGAAGATGGTCGCCGTCCGACAAAGGGATGCTCACCTCGCCTTTTGCAATGAAGATCTTAAAGAGGGTGATCGCAAGCCAGACCAATTCATCAAGGGCCCTCAAAGAAATCCGATCGGAAACAGCATAGGCGCAGTTTACAGAGTTCTCGGCCAAATCGTCTATCGACCGCGTCTTGGCTTTTTGCACAATGCCGAACCTCCGCACTGGAAGCCAGCCTTCTGGATGACGGGCCTGCAGCTCGTCCCACGAGTAAGGTCCGGTTAGCCACTCCTTGACTAGCATCTCTTGCTGTGTGGAATCCCACACTTCCCGAGCTAAATCATCCACCTCCGCGTTCGCCACCTTCGCCCACAGCGCAGGCCTAAGGAATTTAGCATGCTGCACAAGCTCTGCCCTTGTCATCAGAGCCGGTTTTCTATCCACATCGAAGATGCCAGAAGGACTCGACTCCCCCACTAAGGGAAACCCATGCTTAAGGTGTTCGAAGACTTCAGTGTCAGGCCAACCGAAAGACGATGCAATTTTTTCCAAAAGCAAAATGTTCTTGCCCTTCATAACAGAAGCCACACCAGGATCCATGGCAGCATGCAGGTTTGCTTCGGCACCGGCCAAATCGCGTTTCCAAGAAGTCCACTGCTGGAGCAAATTCAGACGGTGCTTCATCACACCAACCGGGCCCTCTTTCAAGGTAAAAGCCAACGCTCTCAACATGAAGTCTGGGACTGCCACGCACAAGTCGAAGGGATGATCGATATGCAATGCCTGGGCCACAAACTCTTGTTCCGTGCGGTAAATGCCAAAGGTAACTGCTGAAGGCACACCTGACAGGCTTCCGACCTGTTTCGCACCGACGACCCCCCGATCACACACAACGCGAAGAAGGCGGGAGCCAGGAGGGATGGACCCCACGGCACATGTGAGATTGCCTTTATTATCCAAAGGAAGGGGCCACGGGAACTCACGGACCGTGGCCTGGCACTTAAACTCGGCGATCTGCGGCTGGAATTTTGACAATCGAGGCTGCCGCCCAGCGGCTGCTACGGCAGAATGCCGCGAACTCTGCAGAGGAAGAGCGTGCTCAAGTAAGAGGCCAGACTGGCCAACCGCCAGCTGCAGGAGGCCAGCAAACACATCACAGAACTTGGTTGTGTACAAGGCATCTGGTGCAAGCGAGCCCGCAGCGTGGGGCCCGGGGCGACAACGACATGCTGGCACCGGCATGCCAGCCAGCGCGGCCTGGGTTGTGCACAGACGCATTTTGACCGGACTGGGAGCCCCGTAGCAACCTGCACAGAAGTCTACGCAATGGAGGTTGTCGGGAAAGTCGAGCTGTTTCCACAGGGCTGACGCCAGGGGATGCAAGACACTCCAATGCGAATCAGATGCAAGCAAGAGTTTGGCGATGCGAATGGTTTGCCCGGCGCTAAAAGTAGCCTTAAAACAATCCTTGGTCGCAGGAAAGAAATGCACGTGAAAAGGGGCATCGTGGCTGATGACAGTCTGCACAAAGGAGAAACCCGACTCAGTTTCAATGTCCACAGGGACAAGGTGAGTGTGCACTCGCCCAGCGGGGCGAGAATGTTCAAGCGCTATGATTTGAAATCCGTCCCGCCGCACCCGAGCCGGCAGCAATCCGGACCCACACTTTATCTCGACATAGAGAGCAGAACCGGGCTTTAAGGGACTAGCAGGGTCGCTCACAGGTTCCTTAGGGTCAACGGCGGGGACAACCGAAGCGGGCAAGGGCCTAAGCGACTCCTGAGCTGCGGGGGAGGTCAAGGATGGCGGCTGACGAGCACACGCTTCAGCAGGCGCCAACCGCGCGCCCTCGGGCGCGCATTCCGGAACATCAACATGACACTCGCGGAGAAAGTCAAGATGTTCTTTGCACAGCGATTCGACATGACGGATGGTGAATGCAACCAGCAAGACTCTACGGCCCTGCCACGCCTCGGTGTAGTGCCAATTGTGTCTGGCATTGAATCGGACAGGGCCCTTAGCAACCTGCAAGCGAGAGCCTCGTGCCCCATTAAGGTCGGATACATCTCGACCGTTTTCATGCTCCACAAAGATAGCTCCACCTGAGAAGTCAGTCAGTGCAATCGCCAAGTTATGCAAGTTGGCATTCCACTGATCTCGATGGCGCTCGGTGCGAACATCCTCAAATATATTTATCGAAGAAAACTTAAACCCCGGTGCACGCTGTCTCACAAACCTTGCAAAGACTTTGAGCGCCTCCGGGTTGGCTGAGGCATTGGCCTTCAGGCCTACATTACCACCAAGAACATACGCTCCAAGATTTCGAAGTTGGGAGAGGTGCATCGGCACCCCTCTTCAAGGCATCCGAAGGAAGACCATCGAAAACCCGCAGAACATCGGTGGCACTCACATGACCCTCGTCAAGTGAAGAACCTCTCTGCGACTGTGCCCCATCACGGGGCCTCGGGGACCTGCTGCGTGCGGCCTCCACCACACCTGGTGATGGCCTGGAGATGGCACTGTGAGAGCCAACGTTGTGCGTGTGATGATCCTCTCGATCAACACCTGACTGCAGACGACACTCCACACCACTCGGAGGAGAGCCGCCGGCGCATGCATTGCTCGGCCGATGAACTCCCTCTAGGAGATCATCCACCTGTGAGGCTCCCGCTGCCGGCTGATGCACACTCTCTGGAGCACCGGCCATCAGCGACGCACCCTCGTGACCCGCTAGTCACGAGCCACCCTGAGCCCGCTTTGGGCACTGCGCTGCACCATGGTTGTGAGCACCGCACTTAGGCACTGCGCAAATGTGCAGGCCTTTCTCGCACTTCTGCCCTTTGGTAGGGCATCCTCCCAGATTGAATGCAAAACAGATTGGGTCACCACGATTGGTGTGAGACCTGCAGCCCTCCAGGCCGGCGGGCAACCTTGTCATGAACCTCTGCTTACCTTTCTTTCCTTTGCCTCCACCTTTGTTGTGAGCATCCGGCTTCTGGGGAACATCCTTTAGGGCAGGGGCCGGAAAAGGTTGCAATAAACATGACACTTCGTTCATGTACATCGCATCTGGCAGAAGTGTGTCCAACGGGCGACCCGATGCGACGGTCTGCACTCCTGCCCTGGTCTTATCACGAAGCTCGGCAAACAGCTGCCGATCCGCCGACTCAAGTTGCTTCCAAGTGGGCCTGGCAAAATGCTCCGCAGGCGCTTGCATGCGGGCCTTCATCAAGCGTTGAGTCCACTTATCAGCAACACTGAACTCGATCAGGTTCGCCTGATCCATGGCCAAAGCTCTCCTGGTGAGAGCCTGCTGAACAAGAATCTCCGATGAAGTATCCGCAACCAGATCAGGCTGTTTGTGCTCGATCCGAAGCTTTCCCGAAGACTCCTCAACAGTGAACCTGACATCGCGTTTCTTCTCGCCAGCCAGTTCAGCTTCCTTGGACACACACCGGTCCCACGGAATGTACCTCAGCTCATTTGCCTCATAGGAAGCCACAGCAAGATCAACAAGTGCATCGGCAGGCTCCAGAGGCCCTTTCAGTGAAATCCCAACAAGCTTCTTGGCCTGCCGCTCGTACCGCTCCGACCTCTCAGGCTGAGACAAAGGCCGGACGGTCGACTCTGGGTCGGCCTTCTCAATCCTCTGCTTCATTTCCGCGGTCACTATGGCAAAAGCTTCATTGTAGACCGCACGCCAATTAGCCTTGTCTGCAATTGTCAAGTCTCGCTTCAAAATGTCTTTCAACACCTGCATCAACGGCCCCTCGTCAGTCTGGCCAGGTGTGAAAGAAGAAATGAACGCCAGCCTCCTCAAGTTTCCCACCTCTGGCAGGATTTTCTGAACGTCATCTTCTGCGAAACCCACGACACTCAATCGCGACTGCAGAACCGATTGACTCTCAGAGTAGTTAGCCATCGTCAGGAGCAGGAACCGAGCTAGTGAAACTCCTACAAATCGCTGAAAGTTCTCAGAACACTCCCGAATCCGCACCTCGTGGCCTGAGCTCTGACTTACCAGGTTCAAGCACAGACTTCCTAAGACTGAGCCGACTCCTCATGAACGCGATGCTTGCTTCTGACTGATGCATGTCACTCGAAAACTACAAATCGCACACACTCCTGGAAGCACTCAGCCTAAGCGCGCAACGCTCAGAAACTCAAAAACTCCTTTTCACTGCACTCCTCAGCATCACTTCTTAGGTGGGCAACAGCTTCTACACAGCGGAAACAAAATTCGAGGGACGGAAGACAACCTCTCATACCTGGTCGAGATGTTTCTCCCACATCTGAACTTGTCGCCTTCTTCGGATGCGACAGCATGGATGAAACGGCTGTCTCTGTTCCTGAACAAAGGGACTGCTTCAAGCTCGGCACGCAAGCCTGCATCGGGCTCCCATTGCCTTCCCAACTCGTCGGTGGCCGCCTCCGCAGCTACATGATCGACATCCTCGGCATCCTCGCTGGCCTCGGAAGAAGATTCCGACAAAACCTCATCAGGAGGAATGGGCATCCCTTCTGGATCTTCAAAGCGCTTCACGAAGTAACCGGACCTGGTGGCGTCCGGCATGAACCTTTCGCGCGACACTTCGAGCAGGACCCCTTGCAGCTGGCGCACAGGAGCAGACATGTTGTCTCTCCCATAGATGAGCTCGGTCCCGTCACGGCCCCTGGCGTGGTAGCCTAGGGCCGCTCTCACCTCGCGGGGTAGTCCGAATTTGGCGCTCCAACTCAAGGTCGTTGCCTTGAGACTATGCGTCCCAAGCGGTTCAACGGAAGACCTGTCACAACCCGCACGGATCAAGAGTGACTTCATCCATTTCGTGGCACTCGCCACCGCCAGCGGCGATGTTTGCCACCCTCCGCCAGAGAGCGGGCTCGGAAGCAAGGGCTTGCCCGACCCCAAAGGAGGCCCATGCTCCTTATAGAACTCAAACCACTTGACACCCCAGGGCACCTACCTTGGATGGGAGCAAACATGTGCAAATACCTGACCTTTCTTTCCAGTGAGAACGAAGTCTTGCTTCGCTCGACAGCGGACTCCAGGTATCCGACTGTGCCGTCCGGCGTATCGCTTAAGTCACAAGTCATTGCACCTGCAGCTTGGGCATCCGAGTACCTCGCTCGTGCATACAAGGTCCACACGAAGAAGCCAGCAGCGACCCGGTCTGAAGGCTCGAGCACGATCGAGCCGGAAGCGATAGCCTCCAACTTCCGCACATGATCAACTTTGAGCGACGGCTTTTGCCGAGTCTTCCTCTTTTCAAGATACAGCTTCGACGACAGCCCACGGACCCTGGGGCTGAAGACCTCATCACTCACCTTCAAGCTCACAGTGAACTTTGCAAAAGCAAGGCTGCTCAAGAAACTCCTGGCGAAAGTGGGCGCCTCGTGAGATGCATAATCCTGTAGGAAAGCATAGATCCCTGCTTCAGTGACAGGGAAAGGAATGACCTGGCAACTTCGGCAGTGCTTGATGTACCTGGCAAGGGGCCCAGCACGGCCCGAGATCGTGACGCTCGCCTTCTGAGAAAACACATCTTGCAAGGAAGACTTCAAGTCAGAGTCTCGCCCGTTCTCCTTATCTAGCCGAATCGAAAGAGAAAGACCGAAATCGTCAGGGAACCTTTCAAGAATCCCTAGCCACTTTGCCAAAGCTGCTTCCCTCGCCTCAGAGAGTTTCTGATCCCAGCTTTGTCCCGGCACACTCGGAATCTTCACTCCCGCAAGCCTGAGTGACTCAAGCTTTCCCGAAGACGACTTCACCGGCCCTGCAGGACCGGCCGGCCCCACTGGCGCTGACACAATGCATCCCCCTTTGGCGAAAGGCGAGGGCAAAGCAGGCATGTCAAGAAATGCAGAAGCTATTTCCCACGGCATCCTAACTGTGCTTCCAAGCCCCCGGGATGCAACCCGCGTGGCCGACACATGGTGACCCTCATAAGCCCCATGCACGCGAGCCTTCTTGAGGCTACTTTCAAGAGAGTCATCCCCTGACATGCTGGCTGCAAACTCGGCCTTGTCAGGCCAGCATGGCAAACGCTACACCCCACTACAAAATTTTCCGGCCCTTTGGCCAGGGAGTAGCTACCCACCCATCCCACCCCTGTCTCGAGGCGGCGCGGGAAATAAAAGAGATGAACTCAGACGATTCAAAGCATGCATTCATGCCATGAAATGTGGTTCAAAATAAAGCAAAGGCGTTTTGAAAACTTCGCAGTAATTTTCAAAACTCTCCTAGGAAAATAAAGCTAATAGAGGCAAGCCTCATGTGTCGCCTGAGCTTGGCAGGGAAAGGGTCTGCCCACGAATCGGTCTTCCCACCTTGTGCGGGCTCCTCTGGTGATTCCTTCTTTGAAGAGGAGCTGTTGACAGAAGCGCAGGCTTTCCAGAGCATTCGAACCCTAGCCTCGACAACGAACTGATCAGCACCCGCGTTTTCCACGAGACTAGCCAGGAAGCGATCCAGGCTCGCTGCATCCGTTGCCACATTAGCAAAGATCTCTGGCGTGAAATCCGCAAAGTGGTAGTGCAGCGCCTCGGGTATGTTATGCGAAGCAAGAAGGGAGTCCATCGTCGAGACCGAAGGATCTGGATCCACCGGCAAAGCACCTGCGCATTGGATGGGGACATCACAGATATGTAACCAGCTGACTTTGCCAAGATCGGTAGAACCCGAAAGCCAAAACCGCGAAACCCGGGGCCACAATGTGCCCGAAAAGGATAAACCTGCAAAACTCGTACTCGGGTACCCGGAAGACCTCACGAGACCAATAATGGCAAGCTCTTGTAAGGCGAAAACGGACTCAAACCCTGCAGCCCCAGCTCAAAACCGCAGCCGGTGAGTCCACAACGTTGTTAGGAAGCATGCCGTAACTGGGACCTTCAGTGAGCTGGGCACGGCAGAGCTCAGCGCCCAAACCGGCCGTGAGTGAAGCCGGCACCGGCCGCACCCACATGGAACCCGCAGGCTGCAATGATGCGAGGAATGTGGCTAGCGGTACACCCGCATCTGATTGCTTGTGTGCGAGGCCTGCATCGGCCGCAAAAGCTGGGAAGGCTGCCATCGCCCCCCAGAGAGCTAATCCCTCCGCGCGCAGGTCGAGATCGCTCAGCCAAAACAAAACTTCACGACGCAACAAGTTTGCATGCAGAGCCTCAGGCAAGATTCGCAGTTTGTTGCCAAGCCCCAGGACACGCTTTTTTCCGATGTGGTTGCATGAACTACGATGTAGAATAAGCTAAGAGCAGCTACTTGCAGAGCTGGTGGAAAAGATGCCGCACACAAGCTGAAGCCGTAAGCTCGCACAGAGCCTTTGCAAAATAGGGGCGTGCCGGCGCTACACGCACCGACACAGAATTCCCTGACACGCCTTGTGTCGACAAAGCCGCGCCCCCGTTGGCACTGAGCCAACCAGCTCGAGCTCCGAAGACAGCATGCCACAGGCGGGCTTAAGCCAGAGCGAACCACAGGACACGCCTGTGCCTGAGGGAGCAGCAGAAGCAATGTGAATGATGCCCGACTTCGCACGAAGGAAACAGACCTCCTCCGCATCGCCCAACGACTCTACGTCTGCGGGATCACCGTCGGAAGAGGAAGAATCAAAATCTTGGGCCGCAGCCCGCGTCTGAGAAGGCGCCTGGGTCGGCTCGGACAAAATGTCGGCCGCTGCATCCTGAGATGAAATCATTGTCACCGCGGCTGCCTCAGGATCGTGAGCAGCACTGAAGTCCGGCAGCAACGGGAAGCAAGAGGCTGAAGACGCACACGGCTGAACCCTCCGCAACTCTAGCAGTGGGAGCTGCTGAATCGGAACCTGTCCGCCACGAGCCAGCGGCGTCAGTGGAAGCCATCCTGCCTGCACCTTAGCCAAAACCACATCCTGCGCGCCCAGTGCGGGCCAAATATCGTCACGGCCGTACAATTCGGCGCTAGACCCTTTGTGATGTCCTTGCGCGAGTCGAGCCGGCCGGTCGACATTGAGGATCAGCATGGCCGACAGTAAACAGACCTTCAGCGAATGCAAAGTCAGCGAAGCGACCTCGAGGACACCTTCCGAGAGGCCAGCCGCGACAGCGGACTCACGCAAGAAGCGCAGGCACTGGGCGTAACTAAGCGGTGCGAAGGTGGCCGATTTACTATCCCAAGAGAACCACAAGCAATCAGGACAAACTAAATCACCAAAAGCAGCCCTCATCTCATCCCAAGCATCAGACAAGAGCTCAAGATAATGAGCCACCCATGACTGCATGACAGAGGCTTCAGCTCCGTGAACCCCGGCAACGCGAAAGCCTACCGGCATCCCTGCCCGAGAGGTCTTTGTCCTGAAGATAAGAGTGCGCACACAGGATGCCGAGAAGACGATGCTATCCCAGCGCAAGTGCTGAGAATCAGACCAGCGCAATGACCCGAAAATGCAAGTAAGTGCAGCCCCAGCAAGGAGCAAGGCAGGCACTGGCAACGTCCGAAAGATCAGCGCCTGCTCAAAGAAGCTGACCAGCCTCCAAGGCAGAGGATAGGACTCACGACGCAACTTGCCCGAGCTTGCCACGTTCACCAGCGGCTTGAACAAGCCATCATAAAGATTATCCACCTGAAGGCGAAGCAGCTTTGCCAGCCAGCGCAGTGCCTTGACGGCATTAAGTTGATGGCAGTCCTGATGATCCCTTCGCAAGGAGAGTATGCAATCTACAACGGCCGATTGCGAAGCAGAGTCCCACGACAGATGCCAAAGCACCCTTAACTGATCCAAGAACTTGTGCACAACCTGAAGATATCGCAAGGCTGTGGATTCAGCCACAGTACGCAACAACCCTAGCTCCAAGTCTGCAGCGTGCACGCTGCTTTGCAAGTCCTGTAAAACTGGAGAAAATGGCAAAACCAAGGGCTTTACCAACTCCCAAATCACAAGCACACTGGCGAACTGCTGCTGGTGGACGTTCTGTTGCAATGTGAAGCCGCCAATCTTAGCAGCCCGGCCACCGCTCGCAGAAGGTGCCTGCAGAGAATTCCTTGTACCTCGAGACGCGGGGGCAGACAATCCGGCACCTGCAGGAGATACGATCTTTGGGACGGCAGCAAGCACAGAAGGCCCATGCGTCCCGCCCACAAGCGGCACACGATTGTGCTTCGCATAAAAGGCTGCACGATTCTTGGCTCGTGGCACAGGCGGGCACAAACCAGGCCTACCCTCAACCGAAGGCGAGGCAACCCGGGACCTAGGGACAGGAGCAGGGGCGGGGAGGGGTCGAAAGGGACCTAGCGGGATCTTAGACCCAATACTCAACCTGTGTCTGTGGTCGACATGCGACGCCCCCTCACCTAAGCCAGCCATGGGCAAGGGCGCCCTTTCCTCTGATCGAGATCGCGACCTGTACCCGGAAGATTTGGGGCGAGCCTGCAAGAGCACAGGCGAAACATCTGCTGGAGTTTCTTGCACTGGCAGAGATGTCTTCCGATAGCGCTTAACCGTGCACACCAAAGGCACTGCAACCGAAGAAGTGTTAAGCGAAACTGGAGCGATCAAATCCCAGCTAGCTGAGGAGCCTGACTTGGCGGGAGAATCCTGCAAGCCCACAGAGCTCATGTGCAACTGACCATCAGCCAGCTGATGAACGACGGCTTGGTCTCCACCTAAATCAGGAGATTCGCAATGCAGCTTATCCAGATGCTCCAAGAAAGATGCGGAAAGCTTCCCTGCTGCCTTGGGCAGAACTTCCTCAGCGTCGATATGCACAAGCTGGTTGAGAGGCTGACCAGTGGTCCGCTCTAAAGAAGCCACAGGTGTAGCCACTGACGTGCACTTGGGAGCCTGTGGAATCAAAGACGGTCCTGGAGGGTCCTGACTGCTCTGAGAGGCCAAACGAATAGCCTCAAGATCGTTCACAAAGGATGTCATAACCCGCAGGACGAAGCAATCAAGGAGTTGGACTCACCAAAAATTGCCTAATAAGCTGCACAAATCGCTCCAACCAAGACAACCTCGAAGCAAGTTGTTGCTGCTCGTTCTGGACCCCTGACAAAGTAGTAGCAGAGAAAGCAGCACCTTCTTCAAGGTCACGAATACGCCCCTCCAGGTACAGAACACGATGCTGAAGCAACTCGTGAGATTGCTGCAAGTCGCTCAAGTGGGCGGAAAGCACTTCTTATTTTCCAACGAAACTTCCGTTAGCGCGCGTTTGGGAAACCCTAACTGCGCTGCAGAGGAACCCTGTGCAAAACACTCTCTCTTTTTCACCTAGCGGACATGGGGGGTCAGTTCGGGCCCGATCTTCGGGCACTGACGAAACGATGCCACTGGCATCTTGACGAAAAACTCGACCGCTGGTCGGAAAATAAGGTGAAACATTCTCTGACCTACTGGGTCACTGCAGCTACCAGTTGCTACTCTGTAGTCTGACGGCCTACGGCCTATGTACAAGAGCGCACTCTGTGCTGACGCCTCTCGGCTAGAGAGAACATAGGAGCGCTGCTCCTGGCAGCTCTGCTGCCGACGCGGTGTCCCAGACCCCGCATACTATACAGGGTGTGGTGGGTGGGATAAAAACTTTTTGGATCACAGATCCAACTTCAAGCCGAAAGCTGCACGGCAAAGCTTGTCTAGTGTCACTCACACACAAGTGAAAACACTGTTTTCCTTTTTCGACAAACTTTGTCTACACTTTCGGCGGAAAATAAAACCCATTCACGCACGCATGATGGATGCTTATTTTCCAACGAAACTTCCGTTAGCGCGCGTTTGGGAAACCCTAACTGTGCTGCAGAGGAACCCTGTGCAAAACACTCTCTCTTTTTCACCTAGCGGACATGGGGGGTCAGTTCGGGCCCGATCTTCGGGCACTGACGAAACGATGCCACTGGCATCTTGACGAAAAACTCGACCGCTGGTCGATGGTAAGGCGAACGACTGGTTCACCCCCCTTGAAGGCACTCGAAGCCTTACTCACCCCCCATTTAGTCCGCGTCGAGTGACAAAGCCAACGGCACTGCGTTGGGCGGCAGGTATTGGCGCGCTGCGCCTCGCCGCTGGGTCTCTTCCCACCAGTCTCTGCTGGGGCCATCAGCGATGTTGCTGTCTGTCGGGACTCGGAAGAAAGCAGCCCTGCACTGCAGAGACTCTTCAAAGTCCACCGCTTGCGAAACTATCGCTGCGCCTTCTACCTTCCGTGTGAAGGCCTTGTGCAAGGAAGTACGCGCTGCGTCGTTATCTATCCAGACGAACAGGTCACTGCCTGCTATATGCTTGGCCCACAGTTGAAGGCTAAGCAAATAGGGCAACAGCTCGCATTCGTAGACCAACTGCTGCTTCTGTGCCCTGGCAACCCACTGGGCTGCAACCTGGCTGCTGATCTGCAGCCCCCAGGTGAAGGCGATGCCTTCTCCAATGAGCACTGCTCCGAGGCCACACTTGGGCACCAGTCGCGGGGTCTCCCACTCGCAGGCCCCGTCGATATACAGGTGCACCTTCCTGCGCGCATGGATGGACACTGTCCTGGGCGGTCCGTGCACTACTCGTTGCAGCAGGAACGCCATGGCTTGGCACTGCTGCTCGGTGAGGGGGACTTGCTCTGGTCCATCCCCAAGGACGTCGCCGACGCAGATCACTGCCATGCGAGTGTTGCGGCCCCAGGCTTGCTGCTCAGCGAAGATGAGCCTGCCGCGCAGGCTCTGCGCTTCCAAGGGGGACATGCTGCCCCGGGCGAGGGCCTCGCTGAGGACCATCCCCAGCTCTGCTGCACGGGTCGGCTTGTTGCTCACGGAGATTTCTCCAAGGTGCTGCTTAGACAAGTCGACTCGCACCTAGCACGTCGAAGACTTCGCTGAAGTCGGCATTCTTCTTGGGCTCTGTGGCCACTTGCCAGCCCAGCTTGTTAAAAAGGTTGGACACTGCCAAAGTGACGAGCTTCGAACGCGCGCTGCGCGTAAGAACGGTGAAGTCGTCGAAGAAGCTCGTTATGACCAAAGCAAGCTTTTCGCGGCCGATGGCTTTCAGCGCCTCGCTGCAGCGGAGGAAAGCGTGCACGGCGGCCACTGCGCCGAAAGGCATGCTGTGTAGGTGGGCTATTTTAACCTTCCCACTCTGTGGGTCCACCATGACGATGCAAGCGAATTTCTTGTGCGCGGCCTGCACTGCAAGCTGCTTGTAAGCACTCTTGAGGTCCCAGGTCCTGCCTACGATGCGGTGGGCCTGCTCTGCGGGCACGCCCTGGCGCAGCCACTCGAGGCACACGGCAAGGAGCTCGTCGATGCTGTCGACTTGGACCTTCTCTGTGGTCCCGCAGCAGCTGTTGATGAAGCTGCTCTTAAAATTATCAATGGGGCGCACTTTGCCCTTTTGCACAACGCCGAAGCGAGACGACACTATCGTCTCGTGCAGTTTTTCTGGCGAGAAGTCCTCCAAAGATAGCCAGCCCTGCTGGCCTTCCTCTATTGTGCTTTCCCAGACCCTGTCCGAGACCCCGTCCTGCGAGGGGCGCAGAGCGCTGCGAACGCCGCGCATACCTATGCTATGGGCGTTTTCCAATATTGACTTCTCATCTAGAGAAGGAGGCAGGATCTGCACTGGCCACAACCCACTGGGTTGTATCCAGCCGAGCAGGGGAAAACCTTCCCGCACCTGTTGGGCCAATGTCCTATCCGGGAAGTCGATTTCACTCAGAAGCTTTGCTAAAGCTACTGTCTGCTTGGGCTTGGTGACGCTGTTCACCTGAGCGTCAATCGACGAACGTACCCCGGTCTCGAGGGCTTGACACTCTGTGCAAGTTCTCGATATATGCATCGATGCCAATGTGCGGCGCTTGGCCAGCAGGACAGTGTCTTCGTGCACTTCGGCAGCGATGGCGCGCTTGAGGGATAGAGGCACTGCCTCAATGTCCCTGGCTGGGTGATCTATGAGATGCGCTCTGCGCACCCAGTGTAGAGGCTGCAGCGGGATGGCGATGATGGCCTTCTGGGAGGCTTCGATCCACTGGATGAGCCTAGAGCCTTTTGGGAAGCAAGTCCACGATTGTGGTAGCTTCTGGGGGGTCTTCCAGCCTCGAAAGCACCGCGCTGCGGGGCCGTGGAGAGTGACTTTGTCACTGAAGTCTGGCTCGTAGCGCAGGCGACGCAGACGCTTGCGACTGAGAGGCGCTGCCTGGAGTGCTGCTGCGCATTGGTCTGCCGCGAGGGAGACCCAGACCGAGCTCAGCTGAGTGGTGTAGGCGCTTTCTAGGGAAGTGGACCACACTGTGGAACCATCCACTGAGGCTCTGCCCCAAGGCAGGTGTTTATGGCCTCCGTCGCAGTCCCTGCTTAGACCGGAGAACCAATCCAAATTGGAGAGGATTGCAGTACGCTTGCGGCGCATGCTTCCGAACATGCACGCGTCAAACTCCACTCTGTGAGCTGACTGCAAGGCCTCTCTGAGGCAGGGCATCCTCCAGAGGAGGCTACGAGCTGGATTTTCTATGGACCAGCAAACGCCGCGCTGAGACAGGGAGTGGCAACACTGTGCCATGAAAGCAACGAGGCTGTTCGCGCTGCGAACTCGTGCTGCGTCTGCTCCTCGGAGGCCTTTAAGGCCCGCTGGGCGCGATTCGCTGCGCAAAGGGCCCGGCGCTCCCGGCCTGGGAATCTCTCTAGCTCTGCTAAAGGTGTACTTTTTGTACTTTGTATGACGCAAACGACGCAAACTGTCCAGCAGTCTCGCGCTACGCTACAATGCACAGTGGCATCGGCTCAGAGTGAGCAAAAGCAGTGAATCCCACCGGGCTAGCCACATGTGGGCAAACACTGCAGGAGTGGTTTTAAAAAACCAACGTCAGCATTAACAAAGGTGAGACAGAGCACAAGTCATCGATCTAACCAGACGTGCTGGACTACTCGATCGTATATACACATCGGTCTGACCAGACATACTGGACTACTAGACCTTTGTACACATGGCATCGATCTAACCAGACGAACTGGACTACTCGATCGTATATACACCGTGGTCTAACCAGACGAACTGGACTACTAGACCTTTGTACACATGGCATTGGTCTAACCAGACGGACTGGACTACTCGACCGTATGTACATGTACAAAGAAGTCCGATGCTGTAAATAGACCGTTGATGAAGTAACACCATCGAAATCAGAGGCACCATACAGAAGATTGAAGAGCAGTGGATCGGAAGCTGATAGATAGCATGGCCCACCAGACTGTAAAGGCCATGCAGTCAAAGAAACAGCTGTAGAGGCATCAGACCAAGGTACCATACGTGGCCAGTATATATAGCCAGTGAAGAACAGTGGTCATAGTAGTAGTAGGATCGTCCAGCTGAATGCGACGGCATGCCACCGTGTAAAGCTCCTCATAAAAGTCCTCCCGATGGGCACCCACTAGCAGCTGTTTGAAATAGCATATGGCACCAGACATGGACATGGAAAGCTGATAAACATTGCGGTGTAGCTGCTGAAGAAGCACCTGTTTCCACTCCGCATCTGTACATGGAGCCTGCTCAAAGTAGTAATAAATGCCCCATTCAGTCAACAATATCCACGGCTGAAAAACCCCATCGATGCAAAAATTGAGCAAGGTGGTGGGGAGCAAGAAGTTGAGATGCAGGCTGATCGGCCCAGGTATGTAGCATATCCATCGTGATACATGAGATAGGTTCACTTCCTCGGTCTCGAAGACAATGTGGTACATCATCCAGAGAATCAGATGTTGCCGGAACCAGGACCAATAGCTGCGCAGGTGTGCCATGTGAACCACTGCTGGATGCCATACGTGCCTGAAAACTGGATGTCGTGCATCGGTTCTGAAGACAGTGTGGTACATCATCAAGTGAATTGTAGGTGCCTCTGGCATCCATCCACTGGGCACGCTGTCTGGACTGATAAATACCGAAAGGCACGTCATGTAGTAAATTGTAGGGCATACAGGCAGCATCTAGGCTTGGAACTGCAGCTGAATCCGTCGGTGTTCCCACCAAAGTGTGAGTCGCCATGTAGAAAAGATAAGCATAATGACCTGCACACACGCTCAAAGCTGGCATATGCATGAAAAGCCGGAAAAGGGCGGCGAATCAAGAGGGCACTGATATAACGCAAAGCATGCAAGCATGTACAGTGCAGCACCCGAGTGGTTGTTTTACCGCATCTACAGTGAGCTGACATACCCCACGCACTCCAGGAAGATCAAGTAGACTTCAGTCATCAACACACGGAGTTGTGCATTTGTGGGGCGACGCGCCATACAGGAATCTTACGATTTGTGGCACAAGCTGATTTGGATTTACAAATGTCGAATATCTAGTCGTCCTCTTAGGGACGTTCTATAAATGACTCAGAAAAGAATCAATCCAATATTCTGTGGCATAACACACTCACGACTTTTTCGCTCGAAAGCGTCAAACGGGGTTTCCAAGTGCATGCCGCACGCACACTGTGGCACACCGCCACAAGAAAGAAGCACTTCGCTTAGAGAGCACTCCGCTCGCCCCAGGGTTGGGTGGGTGGGAAAATAAATTTCGCAGTCTTGAGCTCTAACTCCGAGCCAAGACTTTGCAGCATAACCTTGTTCAAATCTCGTGCGGCATGTGAAACGTGAAACATATTTCAAGTAGTTGAAAATCCAAAATCAGCAGTTTTTCTGTACTTCCAGAAAAACCAAAAGCGCCTACAAATCGTAAAGCGAAATCATGCAAGCATGAGTTGAAGCTTACGATTTGTGGCACAAGCTGATTTGGATTTACAAATGTCGAATATCTAGTCGTCCTCTTAGGGACGTTCTATAAATGACTCAGAAAAGAATCAATCCAATATTCTGTGGCATAACACACTCACGACTTTTTCGCTCGAAAGCGTCAAACGGGGTTTCCAAGTGCATGCCGCACGCACACTGTGGCACACCGCCACAAGAAAGAAGCACTTCGCTTAGAGAGCACTCCGCTCGCCCCGCTTGACCTGAGTGCTCTTAGACGAAGCGCTGAAGCACTGTACCCGTCAGAGGACAACAAGGATCATCGATCGCGCACTCCGGGAAGGCTCTCAAAAGGCCCTCCCATCGACCTCTTGATGGTCCATCAGAGATATTAGAGTGCGAAGGAACACGACTGAACCATTGCAAGGCAGGCAGTGAATCAGCTTTCTCGAGTGCACACAAGAGCTTTCTCCAGGTATCTTCTTTGGAGGATCCGCTTATGCAAGCTGCAAGCACCCCGCTGTGATCGACGAAATAAATGACCCTGGCACCGTCCAGGACGTTCGCCCAGCACGATCTGGCAATGATGACAGCGAACATCTCAACCTGTCCTATGAGGTGTCGCTTGCCCTTGGCATGCCAAGCTTCAAGCAACGTCTTCGGAACAAGCGAGCCAAAGGCCCTTACCTTCAAGCCTCCACTAAGCGAAGGAGCGAACATCACCCCCCCCACACCGGCGGGGTTTGCAGCATCCGGCTCAAAGCAGCCGTCAGTGAAGATCACGATAGGACTAGTCGCAGCTGAAGCTGAAACAGTTCTCGGAGCTCCGGACACAACGCGCTCCTTCAAGAGCAACAAAGCTTCAAGATGCTGAGCTGTGAGGTTGACACGCGCAGCAGAACACCTCTCAAGACTTCTGAGATCATGAATCGCCAACCTGCCCATTCTGCCAAGGATCTGTGCCTCGGCGAACTGAAGTCTGCCGAACAAAGAAGGCAACTCGCGAGGTGCGACGTGCCCTCTGGTGATAATCTCCTCAATGGCAGCGGCGATGGCCTGCGACCTCGATGGTTTGTTGCACACAGACACGCCCGACATATCTTCCGCCGACGTGTCTATGACAACTCCCAAAGTTTCCGAGCGCGTCGAAAAAGGCTTATCCTTATCATCAGCAATCCTAAACCCCAAAAGGCGCATCACTGAAGTAAAGGCTGCAGCCGTGCTGTTGCCAAGGAGGCTCGGCGTCACTACTGGATAGTCATCATAATAAAGCGCCGTCAAGATCTCCATCTCAAGCATAATCCTTCTCAGCAAAGCCGAAACTCTGTTGAAGTGAAGAACAGATCCACAGGCTCCGAAAGGAAGAGTGTTGCATATGTAGCCGGACGGCTCGGTCTGTGAAGGATGTCGAATGGTCACAATCGCCTTACTTTGTTCCTCCGGTGCGAGCGGAAGTTGTTTGTAAGCAGATTTAAGATCAAACGTTGTAGTGACAGGCCTGATCTTCTCCTGGTCGGTCCAATGGTCATGCAGCTTGCCTTTCAAGGTTTCGCCCGAGCTCAGATGCAAAGTGACATCGCCCCTAGCAGAGGCAGCCTGCATTATCTTGGTGCAAATCCAAACCACCTCGTCCAGAGCCCTACGGGGAATCTTCTCATGGCAGCCAAAAGTAGCATTGAGTCCCGACTCGCTAAGATCATCGATCGGCCTCCACTTGTTTTGCCATACAGCGAACCTTCGGCACGGCATCCACTGGCCTTCAAAGCGCTCCTGGAGCTCAGAGAATGACAAAGGACCCTCGAGCCACCCTTTTCCTCCAGAAACACCGGTTTCGCCCAGCGTGATTTCGGCCAACTCCGCATCGTACTCCTGAGCCGGCTGCTCCCTCACCCGTGCCCAAAGCTGATGCTTCAAAACTTCGGCAGCGTCCCAAAATTGCTCCTCCGAAGATAAGGCAGGCTTGTGGTCTGGCTCAAAAACACCCGTAGGATCAGGAGCTCCTGACAACTTGAACCCTGCACATAGGTCGCGATGCAGGTGCTTGTCGGGCCAGTCAAGAGATTTTGCAATCTTGTCAAGAAGAAGCAGCTTCTTTCCTTGAAGAACCTTGCGTACCGAGGGATGAAGGGAGGCCTGGAGAGCGGCCTCATCTGAGCGAAGGTCCTTCGCCCACTGGTTCCACTTTTGCAGCAGGAGCAACCTGTTTCGCATGATGCATAAGGGACCTTTCGTCAATGTGTCAAAAAGCACACGAACAAGCTTGTCCGGAAGAGCTCTGGCGGCATCAAACGGATGCTGAAGTGCGACAGCCTGATACACAAATTGCACCGGCTCGCGATACACACCGAACACATACTCAGTATGGCGAGGCTTCTGCAAAGAGATGTTGGTCGCTTGCTGCGCGGATTCCTCAGTCGCCCCCCCTTCGGAAGCGGAAGAGCGCAGGAGGCGGGCGTGTTTGGGCACGCCGTTCCACGAATGTGTCAGCTGGTTCTTGGCATCCAAAGGTGGATGGCCCGCACACCGTAAGCGCTGCGTGTATGCAAACTCTGGCACAAGCGGAGGCAGCTTGGACGCCTTCGGCTGGTTTTGCGCCGCAGCGCGCACCTCGGGGAGACTAAGAGGGGAGGGGCCTAAACCCAAGGCAGCAACCTGAGTGGACAAGGCAGCAGCAAAACGATCGCAAAAGAGTTTGGCTGGCACGGCGTCGGCTCTGTCAGCCGCGGAAAGCGGGGACAGGTCACACAGGGTGTACACCAAACGAAGATGCTGGATCCTGTGTAGGTCAGACACCAGATACACCGGCGCCTCCGAAGTGACCTTGAGCAGGTCGGCGAAGGGAGGCAGCTCCCAAAGCCAGGAAGACATGGGATGCATAAGCGAGAACGGTACCTCAAGTTCACGAGCCCGAAGCAAAAAGGCCCCCAGCTGAATGAAAATGCGGTTGGCCGACTGTAGACGGGCCAGAGCCGAGGAGTCCTGACCTGGCACACCCCACGGGTGGGAAGCACTTCGAAGCGACGATTTTGCACGTGATCGTCGCGTCGTCCCAGAAGGGGGAGTTACATGCACATGAACAACGTGTCTGTTTTCAAGAACGGTCGTCAAGTACTCCCACGAGGCTGGCAGCGTGAGGTCGAGGCCGACAACATGCACATAAGGCTTAGTGCGATTCCCGTGAAAATCAACCGCCAAAGTGTCTATGTTTGCAGCTTTGACGGAGGCTGACAAAAGGCCTGACCCGGCGCAGAGTTGGATCACAAGAGGGGCACCACGGGAGCTCTTTGCCTTTGGAACCAAGGAGCTCGAAGACAGTCCTGAGAAGGTATTATGCGACCCAAGCTGACACAGAGAAGTCGCCGTATCCTGACAAGGTAGATTGAAACCCGCTCGTAGCAGCATCTCTGCAGCCTGGTCTGGAATCTCGGCGGGGGCTTTGACCACAAAACCAATGAGAACGATACGTGGGCCCTGAGTCCAAGGCAACGTAAGGTGCTTCTTATGCGGATCAAAGGCAAGAGTTAAGTCGCTGAAGTCGAGGTGTGAGCCCAGAAGAGAAGGATCGGTGGGGCACACAATGCTTCCGCTTGAATCCTGGACCCACAAACCCCCACCACTAAACCCCGAAATCTTAACCAAGCCGTTCAGATAGCCCAGTGCATTGTTTGCATCCAAATGCAAGGTCGTTCGCACGTTGCGAGTCAATGACAATGTTGTCACGGGAAGCCTCGGGTGGTATTCCTTGAAGACTTTTGCAAGGAATGCAGAAGTCACGGGAAACTGATGCATATGTTGTCGGCATCCGTGCACACCTCCATGCACGTACGCACCTGTGCTCCAGCTGAACTCGTCCTCAGAATTGTTCCCTCTTGCCGGAATCTCACTCTCCAGCAAATCGCACAAGGTCACAACATCCCTGAGATCTAAAGGCTTCTTAAGTGATGCGGCAGCAGAAAATTGCTCAGGATCTTTGCAAAACAAAGGCGCTGAAGCGACATGCTCAGCAGCGAAAATCGAAGATTCAGAATCCGACCCCTCGGCCGAATCAGCAACTTGTGCAATAGCACGGTCCCTTGACCGCGCTCGCTTGGACAAGCCCACTCCGAGCTGCCCACTACTCATTGCCGATGGCATCTCCGCCACCTCGTCTCGACCCACCTGGAGTCAAGACCCGGCCTTCTTCAGGGCCGCATACTGTGGGCAATCAAGTGCTGGATGCGCGCCCCCGCACTTCGGGACGGCGCATACGTGCAACCCCTTTGGGCAGCGACCTCCCTTCACTTGCTCAGAGCAAGTTTTCAAGCCGTAGCCAAAACATATTGGGTCGCCCCGATTGGTGCACGCCTTGCAGCCAACAAGCTCCTTGGGCATCCTCGGTGTGCTCTTGCCTGTGCCTGGGCTCTTGCCTTTCCGACCACCCTTTGAGGGGCGATCGTACGGGCTCCAGCGTGGCTTCGGAGGCGGCTCCACACGACCGCTAGGCTTAGGCAACGGCTGCATCACATGTGTGACCTCTGGCAAGTTGAAGACTTCTTCAAAGCAGTCGTCCAACGGGCGACCGACAGCGGTGGCCTGGACTCCATCGCGAGTCCTGTCCGCTAATTCCTGGAAGAATTTCTGGTCCGCCGCCTCCAATTGGGCAAACGACACTTGCGAATGCGTGTCGAGTTGGGCCGCCATCCTCGTCTCTATCAATTTTTCGGCCCACCTGCGATGCAAACGAAAGTCGAGCAAGTTCGACATTTCAAATGCAAGACCTCTTCTCAAGAGTGCGAACTGCAGCAAAATCTCCGAACTCGTGTCAGCTTTAATGTGATCGCCCTTAGCCTCAGCTTTCAAGCGCCCCTGGGCATCCACAGTGAGCATGTTGTCACGCTTCACCTCACTCGAGAGCTCCTGGGACTTGGAGGTGCACCGATCCCAAGACACATAGCGAAGGCGATTCCCTTCGTAGATGCCCACACACAAGTCCAGCAAAGCGTCGCTCGGCTCGTTCCGATCCTTGATATCGATCCCAGAAACAGATGCCTTGATTTTTCGGTACCTCTCTGCTCTCTCCGGCTGTGACAGACGTCTTGGCCCTGCCTCATCTGGCCTCTCGGCCATCGTCTTAAGCTCTTGAGTAGCCACGGCATAAGCTTCATGGAATAGCCTGCGCCAGGATGCTTTCTGGCCTGCGTCACTCTCCTTCCCGAGTGCTTCGTTGAGGACTTTAATGAGCTCGGCATCAGAAGCAGCACCGGGCGCGTAAGACGAAACGAATGCCACCTTAGCAAGTGTATTGATTCCGGCAGCCTTCAATTTGGTCACGGCCTCACTGCCTAGACCAACGGTCTCACATCGGTTGGTGAACACCGGCTCTGACTCCGTGTATGAAGCCATGGCTCACACAGTCCCTAGCTCTTGCACAGCTGTTGCCCAACCGGCTCACATGCACTGCCACTCCGGCCAGACCGCCCCATGGGCGCACGTTCAAAGACATCATCAAAGTGCCAAATTCAGCCCGCCAAGTGACTGCAACTTCCACAAGACAAATGACTCCAGACGCACGCGCAGAACTGGTGGTGCTAGACGCAATACACACTTGAACTTGCAGGGCACTGCCACAGCATGACAGCATGGACTTGCAAGGCACATGCGCACGGAACTTTGGATTGTCCACGCCCTCTGCCCGCAGCACCTCACGCATTGACTGATTCCAGAAAGCTTCTGAAGCACTGCTTGCACCTTGGATACAAAACGGGTGGGTGTGCATCGCACACCTCATAGGCAGCCGTAATCTTTCTGCCACAAATGAAAGCGGTGGCCTGCTCCTCACGTGAAATGTGCAAAACTCGCGAGGTTTCGTTCCTAGCCATGACCGCCTCATCAGGAACTTTAGATTTATCTACACGACCGGCCCACGGGCCCAAAACACGTCCCTCAGCACCCTCATCATGGCGCGGGCACTCCTCATCCTCAGAAGAGGACGACGAGCAATCTGCGCCTGCATCGTCGCGAACTCCCGCAGCCTCCCTCTCCGCGGCCGTCATAAGGCCTCTGGTCTCATCAGGCCTGAAAGAACGATCACGGACCTCATCGACGAGCTCCTGCAAGACTCTTAAGGGATATGCCATGGCATCCCTGGCATAGATGATCTCCGTACCTATGCCAGCATCTTTTGTTGCGTGATAACCCAACAATGCAGTGACATCTCGAGCCACACCCTTCTTGTTTAGCCACGACAAGAGTGTGGCTTTGGCTGAGTGCGTCCCCAGCCCAAGCAAGTAGGGATCATCAGTGCCATCACTCAGCAGAGCACGCATCCACTGCCCAGAAGCCTGAGCAGTTTGCGGGATCACATTCCATCCTCCCCCACTCTTGGGTGACGGCATGAGAGGTTTCCCTTCCCCTGCAGTGATGTTCTCCTTCTCGAGCGCCGCCTTCCACCCTGATGCCCAACACTTGCCGCTGAGACCCCGCGCCGGCGCCAGCATAGGCAAAAATTTTGTTTTCCGCTCCACAGTGAAGCTAGTTTTCGTTTTCTTTACCTCCGCGTTGATAAAGCCAGCAGGCAAATCACCCCGGAAGTCAAGCTCGAAAGACAACAAGGAAACATGTTGGGCATCAGAATGACGTGCTCTAGCGAACACCATAAAGAGGACGAAGCCTGCCAGTACCACATCGAGGGCTGAGCGAGGTATATCGCCCGTGCAAATCAGCTCCAGCCTGATAACGTCCTTGACTCGAAGTGGCGGTCTCTGCTGCAATCGCCTGATGCCCAGGTACAGCTTTCTGGCGAGCCCTTTCACCCTCAGAGAATCAAGCGCCAACACTGCACTGTCGAGTCCCAACACGAAGCGGCCGAAAGCCAGCGAGGAAAGCACAGACTTGAAGAATGTTGCTGCTACCTGTGTCTGCATGTCGTAGAAGAACTTATACATGACCTCCTCTCTGATTGGGAAGGGCTCAATACCTTCCAGGTCACAGAAAGCCAGATATCTGATCATCGGACCTGCTCTCGTATGCAGAGTCGCAGTGCTCTTTGCAGCCAGAGCATTCGAAATACTCTCAAGAAGATCACCAGCACCGAGCCCCAACAAGCGGGCCCTCAAGAAATCACGAGACACAGCAAAGTCCCACGGCCCTCGCTCAATGATCTTAAGCCACTTAAATAAAGCAAAATTCTTCTCCTCAGTCTCCTTCGCGTCCCAAGAAACATGTTTTGTCCTTCTAGCAAACTTGGCACCCGCGGCATCGAGCCTGCTCTGCATCCTCGCCGCCTCAGGATGAGATGCTTCTCTCTCGGGAACTGCAGGCGGGAGCAATCTCTGCGGAGCCGGAAGCCCCGGCATGAACCTCTTCCTGGCGGACGCATCAGAGCAAATGCTGGCATCCCACGGCTGCCTGACTGAGAAGTGAGTAGCTGGGGTATCTCTGAGGGCACTCAAGAGGTGAAGATCAAAGGCGGAAGAGTGATCCGGGGCACCCTGGGCACCCCTTTTAGCACTACGGCGCCCCGACATCACGTAGGCCCCGAGCACACCCGAAGCTCAAGAAAACTCAAATGAAGCGGCGAAAGAGTTGCCGCAAGTGTGCAATGAACTGCTCAAGCCAAGAGATGCGAGCAGCAGAATGAGTATGCTGCTCCTCCAGCCAAGCAAGGCGATCCTCGGCCACACGGACGCGTGAATGAAGCAGATCGTGGGCCACCTGCAAAGTATGAAGGTGGCTGGATACAGCCTCGAGAGTGTCGAGGCTACTAGGATGCTCTGACTCAGCGGGAGAAGCAGAGCGGCCCGAGGCCATCCGGCTGCCCCACGCGGGCAGCACTGCACAGAGGGCTAGGCCCAACCTCGTCTTAGCACCTCGGGCCTGCTAGGAAGCAAAACAGGCCTCTAGAGAGCCCAAAATAAATTTCGCAGTCTTGAGCTCTAACTCCGAGCCAAGACTTTGCAGCATAACCTTGTTCAAATCTCGTGCGGCATGTGAAACGTGAAACATATTTCAAGTAGTTGAAAATCCAAAATCAGCAGTTTTTCTGTACTTCCAGAAAAACCAAAAGCGCCTACAAATCGTAAAGCGAAATCATGCAAGCATGAGTTGAAGCATCTGTGTAATACAACTGGGGATCTTCCTGGGTGGACTCCCAGTGAATCAGCAGCGTTCTGTAGTGACCTGAGCGCGGAGTGGAGCCGTGATGCCCAATGAGGGCTCGGAGTCTATACATACGCCAAGCTGGTCGCGGTCCAATCTCGGTTTGAAATACTGGTAAGCGTACCTGAAGCGGAATCGTTACTGCTCTTTGGTCTTTGCGAACTCTGGTACCAACCGTATAAAAGCGAAGAAGCTGCAGGCACACAAACCGAGGCAGTGGCCACAGCCCTGGTGCAGGAGACTGCTGAGCCCAGGCCTGTATCAGCCCTGACAGCTGAATCTCAGAGTTTGAACTGCGAGAGGGCATCGGAAGCATAATGAGGTGCTGACCTTCATCGGTTGAGAATCCTGATTCGTCACGAGACTGCCAAGTACTCATTGGAAGCACATTCTGAACCGGCCATGTACGATCGAGGACATGTTGCGCAAACTCTGCCACATCCTGCTGTCGGTCAAAATGTGGCCATTCCTGAATCAATGCCTGAAAAGCCGTGTGATCAGGCAGACACAGCAATTTGAGACCGTGCTGGCAGATAAAACACAAGATCTGAAATAGAGCCTGGGCATGTTCAGAGATCGAGACCTCACCAAATAGCCATGCAAGGGCAATGAAGAAAGAGTTGGCATAACAGATATTGTGTGGATTGTGCAACCGACATGATAGAACCTGCCTCGCAGCCACTCCTGGAGCTGATCCTGGAGTTGAGATCGCTTGGCTCGTTGGGGTCGAATACGTGCGCCGACTGCTTCCATGGCCGAGCAGTCCACCAATGCCCTCATGCTCTGGTGTAGACGGCACGCACTCGGCTTGAGCGAGATGTCCAGAAGGAATGGAAGGGTGGGACCCATCTGTCCTTCTTCCAAGGCTTTGGTCGCCTGAAAACGTGTGATGTGGTCCTGATTGTTCAGTCCTTGGAGAGCATTCGTGATGTGTGTCATCAGGACGTCCCACTTGATCGGATCCCTGCTGAGCTGTAGCTGAAGTGCCTTGTTCTTTGGACACCATTGGCGATATGTCCAAGCACCTTCGTCCGTCATCAGGCCTTGCTCCTTGAGCTTCTCCTGAAGTTGGTCGTTGGCCCGGATCTTTTCCAGACGCATCTGAAGCTCCTTGAGGAAGAGTCCGATGAGGGCTATGCGGAGAGACATGGTGAGCTTGGTCGGGTCGGCCTTCTTCTGATTGCGCCATTCGAGCGCTCCCGCAATCAGAACTGGTACCATGGTGGCATCGCCCGGGACTTGAAAGACCAAATAGTATCCGGTATCCGTCTGTAGCCGATTGAGTTGGTCGCCTTGGCGTAGGAGAAGGACGACGATCTGCCTGAGGAGCTGTTGAAGATCCTCCTGTGATAAAGTACCGTTGGAGGCCACTCCTTTGCCCTTGCCGCCGCCCTTGCTCCCGGTGCCTCGAGTCCACTGTTCCGCCCTCGGACGCTTGTTGGTCAGATGGGACTGATTGCGCGCCGGTGTTGGCGTTGGATTCAGAAGTGGTTTGAGATCCACTACTGAGGAGAGGCCCCCGAGGAGGCTTTGGATCTGGCTGTCGGCATCGAAGTCCGGCATGTCCTCCATTTCGACCTGAGACGTGGCTGGTAAGCATGTAGGCCTGAAAAACATGTATGCATTTGTGGGCATGCTGACGAGCATCCGTGGTGGTGGTACCACAGAAGCGGCACTTAGATACGGCAACTTTAGCTAGCTGCTTACACTCGGCCCGATATGCTGCGATCCACGGATTGGTTAATGCCTGATGCTGCTTGGCATAATGCTGTTTGAGAGCACTGGCATCCACTGCCCATTGACCACAGAACACACACACATTCTTGAAGTCATGTTTTGTACGCCACATGTGAAGCACCTTGGTCCACGTGTACTTGCTGGCATCCTGCTGTAGCTGCGCATCTTGGACCAGAGGTTGATCTCCAGTTGAAGGCATGGTGGTGGCTATGGTCGAGTCGGCCACCCATGCACGTTGTGTAGTACGAAGAGGATCTTCAGCCTTGTTTGTAGTCGCGGGCGCGGTTGCGGCAAAGGTGGCGGGATCTTCATGGCGAAGAATCGGGCAGCCGTTCCGCTGTATGTGTCTTTGGAGGCCACTCCATTTCGTGAATTTGTAGCCACAAAAACGGCATTGCGGAAGTCCGTTGATGGAGTAGACGGAGCGATCCTGGGGCAGCTCCCGTTTCGGTGCCAAGATCTTGTGGGCTTTTCCTTCATGGGTCTTCACCAAATGTAAAGACGGAAAA